AGTGCATAAACATAATATAGGTATCACTTTTCTGGGAAATGACTAAAATGTGGGTCCAATCATTTCTGTCTCTGTTTTGTATAGTTGTCCATGAGCAGACTGCAACATGACGTACCGGGGCGTAGTGGTATAGTACATAATTATCCTCCATTTTCTTACAGATATTCTATGTGTAGAGTTACATTAGAAAGGTATAAAAGATAATTTTGTGTCTATGACTTGGTAAATCTTCCAATAACATTATCTCCGTAACTCTCTCAAAAAACACAGCTTTCTATTTTTGTTACACAAACAACAACAAGCCAGTCGTCTGATGTTCCTGACTTAGGACCTTTCCTCGCAAAGCATCACATATAAAAAATATGTCTGTGATGTTCAGGTCATATTGCAAATTACATGTTGTCATTATTTTTTATTCTTTGCTTTTTTGTGATGATGTAAGCCCTCCTCAGAAATGTTTTTTCTTGGCATGTGGGACGTATGCAGGCAGTTGTTATATGCTATTTGTTACGAATATAAGTATATCTTAAATGAAATTGAAACTTGGCTATTTTTTTCCGAAAGCTAATCCATCATACATTACTTAAATGTCAAAAAGAACCAGAATGTTATGTCTATGATAATAAAAACTTTGTGTTTATTTATCCCATGATAAGATAAAAGTCAGAATGGTTCACTCAGAAAAAAGACTGAAGTACAAGGATCTTGACTGCAGAAAAGAAAACATTCACACCATGTTAACTATCTCTAAAGAAAAATGTCAGAACTTCCGACTGAAATGAAAACAAAAAAATAACTTACACTTCTAAAATTATTAAAGTGTTTCTATAAATATTACAAAAACGGTTTCCTAAATAGACTCGAAAGAAAAGCATAAATGACAATATAATGAACACCCAACCCGACAGGCAACACATTTCCAGATGACAATAATTCATGGGTACCGATGAAGAGATAAGGAAGTGACAGACTTCTGATTGGATAAAAACTGGTAAAAGAAAATTCACTGTAAAAAAAACCCACAAATCTGTATGATAACAATCGCCGAAGTAAATGGAAGACAAAATACAGAAAAAGCATTAATATCACCTAAGGTTAGAGATTATTGGTCTAAGCTGATCCGCCCCAAACAATAGGTATAATGATGTTACAAGTCGCCTTGCATCACCATGTAAACCAATGGTGCTGAAGCCAAGCGTGATTCAACGGGTTACACTAAAATACCTGTACATATTTCTCCTGCTTCCTTCGCAGCCCAGCTGTTGATCGGTTTGTTAATTAGACTATAAACAAACCAGAGGCACCATGCTAATTAATGAAAACAATCCAACCTTGGACCAACTACCAGACACCTTGCTGAGACTAGCAGGATACCAGTTATGTCAAACGACAAACACCAACAACGTAAATACCTGATATTATTCGAGTGTAATGAAAATAGATGGAAAGAGTTTAAGATAATTTGTAGTAATGTGTAGGCTGGTTAGAGTTGATACTGTAAGCATTAACAATAGGGGGATTAGGTAATTATCAGGAGGTGTAAGGCATAGAAACCGCGAAGGAACACAGGAACATGGCCTGTGTGTCCAATACTAATATGAAGACCAATCACATACGCAATTGAAGCTCCATGTGACCATATCAACACCAATTTCCCTCTAATTTTAAACATGAATGGAATACACATTAAACTAATTAGATTAACAGATAAGATGGCACAATGGTAATGGAAGAGCATCGCAAGTATTATAGACACACTCTGTAATCCACTCCCTACCAAACCACATACAGACACTTGATGAGAATGAAGAGGTTAAAAACCTTTAAGAGTTTATTTGTTTATAAAATCATGGCACCTGTTTGCTGAAAACAACGTTGAAGTGGATTGCACCTTCCATTTGTCTAAAAGCACTTTCTTGTCACTCATAGCAACAAAATCAAGGCACAGAGTGGAACTTGTTGAGAACAAGGTAAGAAAATGTAAGGGTCAGTAAGAAACAGGTAAATGGATTTCTTGCCTGTTCACCAGAAAATGTACTAAACCTATTCAGTTATCCATGAAAAAAAATCATCAGCTCTTTGTGCCAAAATAACTTCTGGATAATAACCCTCATCAAGAACAGCCAATTAAAGGCAAGTTTACAGTGCCTGCCTCTCCAGCACTGGTGATTTTCATTTCATCAGAAAGTCTATGTATCTTCCACACAGATTCACTAAACATCTGATTTATAGGAGAGGTAGAATACTGCCTGCTTTTTTGTCTAATTATTCCAGTTCAGTTCTCTGAAGTTAGTGCTACCATAACCTCAACACAGAGAGAGTCAAACAAAATTTTTCAGATCTCCTCGCAGAAAAGTGATAAAAAATCACTACCCTCTCTTCCCATCATGTTTTCATTTCCACGTATAATTTTGGGACGCAAATCAAAAGTTTTGCTTCGTTACAATCCTTTTCCCTATTAGACGGTTAGAAGGTTCACAAGTGATCCCTACATATGAAACTACCACTTTACCTCATATTGGTTAGAACAGGCCAAGCTCAAGTGAACCCTCCTGCAGTCATTTACGGCACTTTTCGGTGCATGTTTGTAGATAATAGAGACAGTTAATACATAAACAATGATAAATTCCTCGTTTGAAGTCTACACAATGCCTTATTAACAACCCCACTTAACCATACACACACCACATGTAGCAGCTACGGTTAAATGTATCAAATTATTCAAAACATCTCAAAAATTTGAAGGAAGATTTCTGCTGAAAATAGGAATGTAGAACAAAAGTGGATCATGGGATTTTTTTACGTATCAAAGATAAGGACTACTTCAAAAGAGATTAGACTTGCAATTTTCATAAAGATGAAATGAAGTAATGAGCACTTCTCACCGACTAAGATTTTATTTCTAAAAGCCCACAAAAAAGTGAATTATGCCTAAGTTGAAGTTACATTTACAAACAAGTTGCCAACCTTACCAAAACATCCAAAAACAAAGTAGAAGCGTTTCCTTTGTATCAGATACAAAATATCGGTAACAAATAAACAAACATTCCTCGAAATAAATGATTCCATTGTTTGTCATGTAATCTAGGTAAAGTCAATATAATTAACGTAACTTCCCCAGCTATTATTAATAACCATTACTAACTACAGAAGAAAACTGACACTAATACTGACCACAGTAGAAAGTTGACACTAATACTGACCACAGTAGAAAGCTGACACTAATACTGACCACAGTAGAAAGTTGACACTAATACTGACCACAGTAGAAAGCTGACACTAATACTGACCACAGTAGAAAGTTGACACTAATACTGACCACAGTAGAAAGCTGACACTAATACTGACCACAGTAAAAAACTGACACTAATACTGACCACAGTAGAAAGCTGAAACTAATACTGACCACAGTAGAAAGCTGACACTAATACTGACCACAGTAGAAAGCTGACACTAATACTGACCACAGTAGAAAACTGACACTAATACTGACCACAGTAGAAAACTGACACTAATACTGACCACAGAAGAAAGCTGACACTAATACTGACCACAGTAGAAAGCTGACACTAATACTGACCACAGTAGAAAGCTGACACTAATACTGACCACAGTAAAAAACTGACACTAATACTGACCACAGTAGAAAGCTGAAACTAATACTGACCACAGTAGAAAGCTGACACTAATACTGACCACAGTAGAAAGCTGACACTAATACTGACCACAGTAGAAAGCTAACACTAATACTGACCACAGTAGAAAACTGACACTAAAACTGACCACAGTAGAAAACTGACACTTATACTGACCACAGTAGAAAGCTGACACTAATACTGACCACAGTAGAAAGCTGACACTAATACTGACCACAGTAGAAAGCTGACACTAATACTGACCACAGTAGAAAACTGACACTAATACTGACCACAGTAGAAAACTGACACTTATACTGACCACAGTAGAAAGCTGACACTAATACTGACCACAGTAGAAAGCTGACACTAATACTGACCTCAGTAGAAAGCTGACACTAATACTGACCACAGTAGAAAACTGACACTAATACTGACCACAGTAGAAAACTGACACTTATACTGACCACAGTAGAAAGCTGACACTAATACTGACCACAGTAGAAAGCTGACACTAATACTGACCACAGTAGAAAGCTGACACTAATACTGACCACAGTAGAAAGCTGACACTAATACTGACCACAGTAGAAAGCTGACACTAATACTGACCACAGTAGAAAGCTGACACTAATACTGACCACAGTAGAAAGCTGACACTAATACTGACCACAGTAGAAAACTGACACTAATACTGACCACAGTAGAAAGTTGACACTAATACTGACCACAGTAGAAAGCTGACACTAATACTGGCCACAGTAGAAAGCTGACACTAATACTGACCACAGTAGAAAGCTGACACTAAAATACTTATCACAATAGAAATCTGAAACAAAAAGAAACACCCAGGATGTCAATCACTATTACCCTTTTTATGAAATGAATCAGAGATTTTGCTAAACATATAAATAACTTAAAGACTGTAATCAATATGTGATAGAGTGTATATCATTATGAAAGCAAAAGAAACGAAGGGAGGTAACTCTTATAAAACAAATGACAGTTACTATTGAAGTGTGTGAAAACTTCAGTCTTAAAAATGCTAACTATGATGGATTCATGGTACATCATTGCTTTTGAACTGTTGTATAAACTATATTGATTCAAGTTCAGAGTCCAGATGCAAGATTAAGGAATTTTATAAAACCTGATGCAGAAATACCGTGAAAAAATCAAAGAGAGACCTGTCGCACATGAGAATTTTAAAAGGTGACCATGGAGGACAACACATAAAACAGGAGATGTCAAATAGTAAGCCCATCAAGGTCAAAGTCTGACATGTGACTCAGGGATATACATATTTGTTTAATTAACATATTTGTAATATAAAACATGTTTTTTTCAATACATAAAGGCCCTTACCTTCATATCTTCCTGTTGGACTCGTGCTGTCCTAAGCCTGCGCTCTATATTGTCAAGCCAAATTGTCAAATCCTGAGTTTCTCGTTTGAATTGATACCACTGGGGCGCTATTACAATCATTGATTTCCTCTTGGCATCAGCAGTGGACTTGATGGCTCCCCATCGGGACTACAACATCAAATACGTTGGTAAGATTTCTCATCAAATTTAGCACTTCTAAAAATCCATCGTTAGTTTTGATATACAAACGACAAATCAATTACATAGTTTACATTTTTTTTCTGCTACTTGTTTTTACATTGAAGGGAAACCAATGCAAATTTAAAGGATAAAAAAGACTAAATCTATGTGAATCATTTCACCAATAACAACATCTTTGTATTCCTACTTCAACAACACATCAGAGGTCTACGTAAATGAGGAGAGATTTACCTTAAGGTCTTCCACCTGCCGGTAGATGCGGATGGCCTTGTCATGGTCAGCTAAGTCTATGGCATGTGCCAGTTGTCTCCCATGGTCGGACACCTTGTTTACATCGGTCTGCAACTTATCTGTCTCCATTTCAAGTTTCTGTAGAAACAAGGTCAGAGTTAAGGTCAGGTCAGAGTTAGCAGCCTGAAGATTTAGATATAAGTAAGGTTTATTCTTACTAGACATTCAAGGACAAAACTGTGCTACCTAAATATGACCTATACTAACTTTCTTCAACAGCATCAACATTAACACACCCACAACTTTTATGGACATATGGAATATTGAAGCCATTACAAAATCAAAATTTCAGAATGGTATCAGTACATTCAGGTGAGTTTTTGATGGATGAAAAGGAGTGATTTTTATAAATTAATCTAAAATCCAAAAGCAAACATGGAGAGCCCAGTCTCCCAAGTCCAAGCACAACATTTATTTTAACCAAGCAGAGCACTAGCTTGGCCTTGAAATCTCATTTGATTACAGAATAGTTCTTCTGTTTGGCATATCAAGACAATTTTCAATTGTTTACAGAACAGAAATGTGCCATCAAAGGGATGTAACTCTAACACAAATCACAGGTCTACGTGTGACATGACAAACGGCCTTAAAGGAAATCTACACATTACATTCTCGCTGATTTCTTACCCCGTTGTAAAGTAAAACGCTGATCAATGACCTGTACATCCAATATGTAGATCTGCCAGACACATTACACTCTAATCACAATAACAAGCATCCATACATGTCCTTAGCAATTTGTGGGGACTGTCAAACAGAGGATTCCTCACAGAATCCCAATATTCGTAAAAATGTCTTCAGCAAAGATTTGACCGTTTATCCTTCCCAGAACCCAAGGATACACATAAAAAACACTGCTGCTTTGATATTCTTGGCTGTCCTATGGTTGATCCTTTCCAGAACTATACAATATATATATATAGTGTATAGGTTGATATGTCTGGCTGTCGGATAGTTGATCCAGACACATGTAAATACCACTAACTAAGTAAAAGGTCTCTGTGTATATGATAATGTTCTCACTTTCCTTCACCCCGAGATTTCTGTAACTGTCAATTTTTAGGGATCTCTGGAGCCTACTAAACAACCTTATCATCTGCCTGTACAATGCTAATGACTTAATACAAGCAGGTGATTTAGGACCAGTGGTCAGTATGTAAGATAAATTTTTGTGTTAGGGATGTCTTATCACCCTGGACAAACAGCTCTGATGTCCATTACATGGACACCCTGACCGGGTGTTAGGCTAGACTGACCTGTGTTGTGGTCAGTTTGATTTATAGCAGGATGTGATCATGTTTACTACATTAAAGTTAGTTACAATCAAGGAAAACTTTTACTGTCTTTCCTGAAGTATTGACAAATAACCATTATCTGTCCACACCAGTATCTACATTGGTGACAACAAAATTATCTATGGTAATAACAAAATATTTCAAAAGCTGTATATTTATCTTCATCATGTCTATAAAGTAAATTGATTTTATTACGAAACATTTTTCATAAAGATTGTTTGATAAAGTTTTGCATTATTTTGATTAGGTGGTCTAAGGGAGATAACTTGTATAGATTTTAAACTGCTTTCCATCAATGTGCTGTTCGCCATTTCTTTAGAATCATGTGGCTTGTTGGTATTAGGTTTATCAGTCGACACGGCCTCCCACACAAACCCTGATATGGGGCTGGGTAAACAATGGAATTACACTATGAATATGTTTGTTTAAGATAGATATTAATTACATAAAGTTGGTTGTATGACATTTCCCCAGTACAGGTATAAATGTCAACCTACGTACAGAATCCCTCTTCTTCCATGTGATTTCAAAGCTAAACAAGTTGTGTACTCATTTTATCACTACCAGACCCCATAACTAATAGTCTGTAAGCTTACTCGGAAAGGTGTGAGCAAGGAAAAGACCAACAAAAAGGTAGGCCAAAAGCTAGAGACATACAGTGTCATCAACAGAGATTTTTCATTAAGCCTGTAGGAGACACAAACTGTCACCAACAAAAGGTTCTGTGGGCCTGTAGCAAACACAAACTGTCACCAACAAACAGGTTCAGTAGGCCTGTAGGAGACAGAAATTGTCACCAACAAACAGGTTCAGTGGGCCTGTAAAAGACACAAACTGTCACCAACAAACAGGTTCAGTGGGCCTGTAGGAGACACAAACTGTCACCAACAGACAGGTTCAGTGGGCCTGTAGGAGACACAAACTGTCACCAACAGACAGGTTCAGTGGGCCTGTAAAAGACACAAACTGTCACCAACAAACAGGTTCAGTGGGCCTGTAGGAGACACAAACTGTCACCAACAGACAGGTTCAGTGGGCCTGTAAAAGACACAAACTGTCACCAACAAACAGGTTCAGTGGGCCTGTAAAAGACACAAACTGTCACCAACAAACAGGTTCAGTGGGCCTGTAAAAGACACAAACTGTCACCAACAAACAGGTTCAGTGGGCCTGTAAAAGACACAAACTGTCACCAACAAACAGGTTCAGTGGGCCTGTAGGAGACACAAACTGTCAAACTGTCACCAACACAGGCTCAGTGGGCCTGTAGGAGACACAAACTGTCACCAACAGACAGGTTCAGTGGGCCTGTAGCAGACACAAACTGTCACCAACAGACAGGTTCAGTGGGCCTGTAGGAGACACAAACTGTCACCAACACACAGTTCAGTGGACCTGTAAAAGACACAAACTGTCACCAACAAACAGGTTCACTGTGACACAAACTGTCACCAACAGACAGTTTCAGTGGGCCTGTAGGAGACACAAACTGTCACCAACAGACAGGTTCAGTGGGCCTGTAGGAGACACAAACTGTCACCAACACACAGTTCAGTGGACCTGTAAAAGACACAAACTGTCACCAACAGACAGGCTCACTGGACCTGTAGGAGACACAAACTGTCACCAACACACAGTTCAGTGGACCTGTAAAAGACAAACTGTCACCAACAAACAGGTTCAGTGGGCCTGTAGGAGACACAAACTGTCACCAACACACAGGCTCACTGGACCTGTAGGAGACACAAACTGTCACCAAAAGACAGGTTCAGTGGGCCTGTAGGAGACACAAACTGTCACCAACACACAGGCTCACTGGACCTGTAGGAGACACAAACTGTCACCAACACAGTTCAGTGGGCCTGTAGGAGACAAGAACTGTCATAAACAAACCGTTCTGTAGGCCTGTAGCAGACACAAACTGTCACCAACAGACAGGTTCAGTGGGCCTGTAGGAGACACAACAAACAACATGTGTCACCAACATATATTGACAGTTCAATCAGTGGACCTGTTTCCACGAAACAAACAAACAAATCAAAGAAATTTCTACTACTAAAACACTCAATCTCCTTAACCAATACAAGTTAAAGGGTATTATATCAACAAGAGATCCCTGAGGGATCTTGGCGTCCACCATTTGAGGATCTGTTTTCAGTTCTTGAAGATTTTTTTTTGTTTGTTACAGGTGTTGTAAATGTTCATGAACTGGTCTTCATTGAATGTACTCAATGATGGCACAAGATATTTTTATTAAGCACCTATTAGCAAATATCATTTGAAAAAGATCCCAAAGTATTATTAGATAGCAGTCAGTTACAGGTGGATAATGGACAATATGCTTGTGCTGTATTACTGTTGACATCCAAGATGGCTGCCTGTGGGCCATCTTGATTTTAAATCAGTTCAAAAAAGGTACAATGCACAACTAGGGACCAAGAGAAACCAATATCTATGAAATATCAGAAGGATCCATCCTGGACTTCCTCAGATATAGCAGTAACAAGATTTTACTCTCAAAATCCAAGATGGCTGCCTGGTATAATGCACAACTTGGAACCAAAAGGAACCTGCATATGAAATTTGAAAAAGATCCATCCAGTACTTTCCAAGAAATAGCAGTAACAAACTTTTACATTCAAAATCCAAGATGGCCACCTGTCTGCCATCTTGAATTCGAATCAGTCCAAAAAAGGTACAATGCACAACTAGGGACCGAGGGGAAACTGCATATGAAATTTGAGGAAGATCCATCTAGTACTTTCTCAGAAATAGCGGTAACAAACTTTTACTTCCAAAATCCAAGATGGCCACCTGTCGGCCATCTTGAATTTGAATCAGTCCAAAAAAGGTACAGTGCACAACTAGGGACCAAGGGGAACCTGCATATGAAATTTGAGAAAGATCCATCCAGTACTTTTCCAGAAATAGCGGTAACAAGAATTGTTTACGGACGGACGGACCACGGACCACAGACGCAGGGCGATTTGAATAACCCACCATCTATTTGAATAGATGGTGGGCTAAAAATGAGGATTATCTATGTTGATCTACAAAACCAGGATATACAGAAGGGTAAGTATGGAAAAGGGTATGACTGAAACAGGCCACTACAAACATTGATGGTACAGGGGAAGAAAGGATTAGGATGGGGGTGGGATGCAGTTATTCACATTAAAAAGGTTTATCTTACACCTGTCTGAACTTTAGATGAATATTTTTCTTCATCAAAATAACAGAAATCATCATTTTACAAATTTATTTTGTATTTTGATAAAAAGTTCAAATTTTTTCAGATAACTATATAAATTTTCAGTGAGAATCTCATACACAGTTGCCAGATGCAGGTGTACAAGATTTCTGACATGTAACAAAACATTTTGCAGGTCTAAATGTTTGTGGATATGAAGGGATGGCACACATATACAACTGACACCACTACAGAGACAAATGAGAACAGAAACCATTTAATTTGATGGGAAGACTATGAAATAGAAACATTGTGTTACCTCAGAGAAAGTTTTCTTGGTTCATAGGAAGAATGTAATGGATTGAAACTAATCAAAAAAAATTTTTAAAAATGTGAAAAAGATAAAAAAAATTGTAAATATAGACAAAAACGATTAGCACTAAAATTCACCCTTTTTAGCCAGTAGGTATGTAACGCTTGCCATGTTATCTGTTGATATAATTAATTCAACGTTAAAGTAGCACAGACGGTTAAAATGGTTGTTATAAATCATAATGAGTTGGTATATGAACTTTCTAACAAAGAAATGATCCTCGCTTCTCATCATAACATGTTTAATATGTTGTTATCATTGAAACTAAATATATTCATACACGTTCTAAATGAAATCTGAGATTCAGTGTATAGGAGTTATCCCCCTTTACAGTTTAATTATCTAGTCTTAGTTATTTTTTTTCGCATCATTACAATGATAAACTTGCAGATGAGTTCAACGTCTTTCTCATACACAATATAGATACAATTAAGTTTATAACACTATTTCATAATTCCTAAGAATGATTTCTAAAAACTTATATTTACGAATCTTTCCCATACAAAATAAATACAGAGTCAGTATCGTCCTGGTGAATATTGCCAAACCATCTCTTCTAACTTATGTTGATATTTTGGTTTTTAGAATAATGAAACAATAAATAGATCCGTTCACATATGATACGATAAGTACCAGCAATATCATGACTGAAGTACCGGAGTCATATCCTTTGTACTACACCTGAAGTACCCTGAATATCATGAAAGAATTAATCTACAATGGCCAAGTTGAAGCAAGGACATCATATTTTTCTTGTACCAGGTTTATCTCTTCTTGAACGATACCAAAACTGTGCTTTTGAATATTCTTCCTTCACTGATATCCAATTATTTCTTCCCTAACTACACCAGGGCCATCCTTCAATCAAAATACTAATTCCTGTAGATCAAAATAAATTTCATTTTCTTTGAAAATCTTCACTATATATTCAACTAATAAAGTTATCTCCCCTCTCCCATGTCACTGAAACCCCTGATATTATGTTTGTACTCACCGCTGCATTTTCCTCCAGCTTCCCTATAACATCCGACTGTTGAATCTCCCCTTTACACACAACACTATTGTCAAAAATGACCACATCCTTGAGAACACTGTCATACAAAGCTTGAAACTCTTCATCAGTCATCACAGGACCAATGTACCTATCAGGGGTCAAAGGTGATAGCCTTTGAACTCTGTCAGGTGTCCGAAGTTCTCTTTCAGGTGACCTCAGGTCACTGTCTGGAGATTTAGTCAGTAGCCTTAACTCTCTATCTGGTGAAACAAGGTCACGGCTAGGTGATCTGCTAGACAGTCTATCAGGTGATTTTAACTCCCGTGTCTGTGACCTTGTACTAAGGTCATGACTAGGAGATTTTAAATTCCTTTCCGGAGATTTGTAAGAAGTTTCCACAGAAACTTGTTCGATTGTCTCTGGCACCACCTCCTCTAATTTATCTTCATTTGATGAAGATGTGAAAGCTGTTGACGAAACCTTGGTAACCGTTGTCCTGGTAATTTCCACAAAACTCTCTGTCACTTGGTACATCTGTTTTGCCTGAAAAACAAAATTCAGTAATGATAATTTTTTCTTCTCATTTACAACAATGGTTCTGCTATCAAAAGAATTATTTACCTAGACAAGTTTAAATTTGATCAATATAAAAAGATATTCTACAATGTAAAATTATCTGACCTTGACCTTGCTGGTCAGTTCCTCCCAGCGTTGATTAAGATGGGTCAGTTCAGGTTCGACCATACTGTTGTAACGGTCACTCTTGTTCATCAGCTGTATGGCTGTGTCCCGAACTTCATCAACCTGACTGGCATACTCATTGAGCTCCACCTGCAAATTCTGTAAAGGAAACACCATCTTTTAAACTACATACATCTTCTTGAACAGATTGTAAAGACTTGGAGAGAAAAAGGAAAACGCTGAAAAGGCAGATTTATTATTTGTTTATGTCGACCAAAGATATTTGAATACATGGAAGTGATTGTCTTGGAACATATTTTACAAGAGGTAAAATTTTCAACTCTACTTCACACAACAAGCAAAGTTCATGAGTGCCAGGACCAGCCCTAATCCCTCCTTGTACCTTTATTTTATCTCGTTGAAGTTCTGAGGCCTGCTGCTGTACCGACAGCTTCTCGTGGTCCTCCAGCACCCCCTCTGTCTTTGCTAGACAATCCTTGACCTTCATCAAGGACATCTGGAATTCTACAAATAAAGTTTCTAGATTAGAAAGCTCCTTTTGTAGCTGTTCTCGTCTGGCAGCTAGACGAAGAGTCAGTTGTGACCATTTCTCACTCAGATCATCCAGTGTGGCCTGGGCATCAGTCAATGGTTCCTCCGCATACGATGACAGCTGTGTGAGAAGATCCCTCATGCTGGATAACATGGTCTGCCTCTTCTGCATCTCATCTTGTACAGTCTGTAGAATGAACAGAATCAATAGTATCATAATATAGGTACATCCTACCACCACAAGATTTTATCTCATTTTCAGTCCACAGTTTATCATTCTGATAGTTCAAGCCTCATACATCAATTCTTTATTCCTTCTTGGTATTGCTTTTGGGCAAAATATCTACAAAGACATTCAGAGAATGGCAAAACTGTCAAAAAATCAGAATTGTAAATTGTAAACCACTACATGTTAGATATCCTGTATATCTGTGATAAGCATGGACTTCTGTTTAAACTTCACACATTTTACTCTATTTGAAAATCCAATGCATTTTCTATGCTAGTTTTTTTTCTGTACTATTCATTTTTTATCATAAATTATTCCAAAATACCCTTTATAAGAAACATTTTACAGGTCTCTCAAAACGGAATAATTTGTTTACACTGATCTCCATAAATCGTTTCTACAATAGTTATGCTTATATCAAATTTGCTGAATAGATCAATATAATTTCTGTTTTGGAAAACGGGACATCAATATTAATGCAGACACTTTAATCCCTTTATAGTTTTGTTACATAGCCACATGTTGGAAACCTACTTATGGTATTCACTAGAGTGGTTCTGAAACTCCCACCTGTACATAGTTAAGATCAGCATCAAGATTCTGGCTTGGACTAGCCCCATCTCGATCGTCCAGCTGTTTGCTGACCGAAAGCAAAAACTCATCAACTGCAGTAACCTCCTTCTTAAGCTTCTTGGAAAGCTTCAAGGACTTGTCCAGGGACGTTTTACCCTTGGTCACCTAAGACAAGAAAGATAGCCACATTTGGATATCCCCTCTTCTTAGTAGGCTTAATATAATATATATATATAGCGGATAGAGCCAATTTGTAAATTACCACTGACATTTCTAGGGTTTTGATAACCTAAGGTAACTATAGTCAGCCAACATATATTGGCAATCATTACTTGCTTTATCAATCAAAATGGAAAGGTATCAAATTTCAAATGGCGTGAAAAATAGAAATAATAAAAAGCAAATATACCAGAGTATTGACTTAACACCACATTTGTCAAACAAGATTTTGAAATTGGCATTGATTGATTATCTGAGTTTCCTGGTAAAGGCTCATTCACTGATCCATTGCCACAGTCACACCTTACCTGGGCACCTAAGTCGTTATATTGTTGTTTAATGGCGTCTAACTGTTTGTTCAGTTTATCTGGAAATTCCACTTGTTTCTTGTCAACAATCTGTCGTCCTGTTTTTATGACATATTCCACTTCTCCCTTCAGGTCACTCATCATGCGGTAAAATTTCTGCAAAGTAAATAAACTTAGATCTGATTTTTGAATCTACGCTAAAGATTTGCAAAGAGTTCTATATGTAGTGGCCAAAAAATGTTTCCTATCACATTGTTGTCTTGTCAGTTCAGGGTTGTCAGCCAACATAAATTCCCTGACTTTTCACTGAATTTTCACTGACTTTTCCTTTACCACAATGAATTAATTTTACTTGCCTCCACTCAAACTCTTACAGTTCACCAGTCCTCCTATATCTTAAAAACTTAGTTAGCCAGGGTTATTTTGTGGTTTTATCTTTTTATTGAATCAGAAGACTGCTCAAGCCACAGTAAATTCGACCATGAAAATTTTTTTTCCTGACTATTCACTGACCTGGCAACCCTGCAGTTTATAGGAAAATATCAGACAGCTAACTGATTTGTCACTGAAAATTTCAAATTTTTTGGGAAATATTCCTATTCAATGAAGCTTCAAGGATTAAAAAAAGGAACTTCCATTTTTCAAAGAACAAAAAGGAAAAGGGGAATGGGAGATTAATTTTGTTTTTTTTCTCATTACACAAATTAGGCTTTCCATTTTGAAAAGACACACAACACAGAAAAATCTAGGATATTGAGACTTCTAATCTCTAAATAACTTTAGAAGGATTATGATAAATTGTTAAATAAAAATACCAAAATCAAATTTTGGATTTCATTTTAAAATATTTTCTTTGAAATTTCCCAGGGCCTTTTGTGTTCAGTTTCCTGGAGACACATGCTCCACAATGTTTGGTATAACTTACCATACATTGGTCATGCTTGGCCTGTAGAACATCAGGATCCTCCGTCTGGATTTCCAGCAAATGTATCCTCTCCCCTATATTGCTCAAGTCTCGTCTGACTCGATTTAACTTTGGCTCGAAGTCTGTTGGTCGTTGAAATTTACGAAATGTTATGGTCACATCAGCGAAATGTTTCTGAAATAAACAAGTAATAAGTTATCATAAACTAGAAAATACACAAGCTCCTTAGCATATTAGTATCAAAGTTGATAAAGTGGTATAAATAACAGCAACCTTGACTTTGAAGTTCTTATAAAAGAACTCGGAAGAAATCGGAGAATCACTTACCTTTAGGATATCAATCTGGTTCTCTAGACGAGCACCACCCTCTAAGTTTCCTTGTTCTTTGTATTTCTGAGCTTGCTGTTCCAGTTCTCCTAACAAATCCTGCTGTTGTTTAAACTCCTCTTTCAGGGACTGTAACAGAAATCCAATGACATTAACCCAATCAAGATTAGTTCACAACTTTTCTTCATTAAAGTTTAATTAACATTTTGTATAATTTTGATCAAATATTCTCACCTCGTACTCTTCTGGTACATCCCCAGCTAGAACATCAGCGTCGAGTCGGGACTGGATGAGACCGCTAACGTCTGTCATCCACTGGGACATATCGAGGATCTGTCGCTCCATTGTCTGGGCCTGGTTCATAGACTGTTCCAAGTTGTGGATTGTCTCCCTTGCCTAAAATCACAATATGGTAGATCTAGGGTAAAGACACATAATGATAACAACTGTATGATGCTGACTACATTAAAAAAATTTCAGGAGTAAATCATTGATTCATTTCTTTCTAGTACTTTGGTTTGAATAAGAAACTGACAATTTTTTTTTTCTAATATCCAACACTATGCTTAAATCATATTTCAATAAATTATTTTGAAAAAGTATCAACGTATGAATTTGTATATATATATACCGCCTACAACAATGAACTGATTTAAGATGTCTAACTGTATCCTGTTTTGTGCGTTCCTGATTTACCTGACAGTCCAAGAGGTTCCATTTTTGGGAATACTCCTCCATTTCTTTCTTGATCGTGCTTGACATGATGGAGTTCCCAATCAGCTGCTGGCTCAGCTCCTGGAGTCGGGCCTTACGGTCACTGTTGTGTTCCCGCAGACTCACCTCAATATCCTACAAGGTATAACACAATCACCATAGAAACAGACCTTCCCTTTCTACTTTTTGTATATACATCACACAGAAAGGTATTATTATAAATTATGTGTAGCATTTTTGAGAATAATAATAATAACTAAAAACAAAGGTTACTATAACTTTCAATCAGGGCTTTGGAAGAAATCCTGAAAATACGTTCCTTTTCATCTCCATCTTCATTAAGAGTCTATCCAAAATTTCCATTCTACTGCACTGAGGTACGTTTTTAACATGAGAACATTTGTAAATCTAGAAAGATCCAAGTTTTGCTCTTGCGAGATACCAATTCCACTGTCACATAATGTCATTTACCTCCCAAATAAAAATGATAAAATGGCATATTGATGTGAGTTATATCTAGTTGAGTTCTGGACTTTCAGGTTCAAAGAGTAGAAATAGCTTGTCTGCATTTGGGATGACTCCTGTTTAATGCATGTCTCATGAGATAGCGTTCCTTGTATAAGTGTAATATCTCTTACAAATTACAGGGATAATTTAATACTGACGACTTTATACTAGTGGTCCTGGCATAAGTGTAATATCTGGTACAAATTACAAGGATAATTTAATACTGACGACTTTACAGTGTATTGATCTTTTAAAGAGCGAACAAAGATCAAACAAATTCTCTAAGTCAGTCACTGGGCTTGTGTTGGTAACAGAAATGAAATAAATATGAGTGGGTTTATTACCATATAAGGACTTATTGTCCTTTCATATTGTATCATTAAATACAACTTTTGTAAAGCCTTACATCTAATTCTTCAGAAAGTTCCTCTGCATCAGAGCTGGCCATTCTGGACCTTTTCAGTTTGGCTTCCAGAGACAGGAACTGTCTCTTCTCATCATCTTGAAGGCCTGTATCATTTAATAGGAAATTACAGATTAAACAATATCATTTCATTCAAATATGTTCTGTTTAATTGTTCAGTTTCAAGGGGCTAATATCTCACAGTTGTCTCAACTTGCAGTAGTTTTCAAGGATTAAATATTGTCAACACTGACCTTTGAAATAGTTCAGTTGTGTGCCTGACCTATATAATGACCTTTTTGACACTGACCTTTGAACTGTTTCCACTGTGAGTCTGAGGAGGCATAAAGCTGTGAGTAATGGTCCACTCTGTTGTAGACATCAGTCCATAGAGCGTTCATCCTCATCAGTGCCCGGGCCAGGTCCTGGAGAGAACCTGCTGGTGCCTTGTTCAACATCTCATTTGCCTCTTCATTCACTTTATTCACCTCCTCTTCCTTTCCCGAAACATCAGTCTTCAGGTACTGTAGGATGCATAAAGGGTCATAATTGTTATTCATCAATGTAAATGTTTTCTTCTACATCAATACAAAAAAAATCAGTCAAACTGCAAAGCTATAAAAATTCATAAAATTTCAAATGTTCCCCTCTATAATACCAGAATATCAATCACTCTTAAAAAAAATCTCAAAGTTTTCAACAGCAGCAATAACCATGGCAAAAACATTCAACAGCAGTAAAGGACATTCACACTGTGATATTACTGTTTACAAAGCTTTTTCCCTTACCTTAAACTTCTTGGTTTTGACAATGCGACGATTTTGACATAACTATGAAATGTTTAAACAGCTTCCCCTTTACCTTAAACTTCTTGGTTTTGACAATGCGACCATTTTGACATAGGTAACTATGAACTGTTTAAACAGTTTCCCCCTTACCTTAAACTTCTTGGTTTTGACAAGAAGATCATTAGCATTGTTGACGGCATAATCTTTGTTAGAGAGGTCGTCTTTCATTGGTTCCAGCCAGTCAGTTAGAACCTTAATGCGGTCGTGGATATCTTGACTGGAACTCAGCGCCACCTTCAGACGACTGTTCTGTTCCTCGGCCAGACACACAGTCTGGTTCCATTTTTGGTTGAGAGTTTTGACATCTGTAGTCATTTTGTCTCCGAACTGAGGGTTGATGTTGTCTGATAACTGCTTGTGGAGCTCCGAGATGCTATTTATATTCTGTTGTAGTGTCTTGATGTCTTCCAAAACACCCTGAAAAATATGACAATGCTCTCATATTAAACAGCAAAATCTGACAAAATGAAAACCTGTCTTTAACAAAAGTTTACTGACATCATATTAAACTGACCACTGACAAACACCTGACTTAACCATCACCTCACTTAACCAACACCTGACTTAACCACCACCTCACTTAACCAACACCTCACTTAACCAACATCTGACTTAACCAACACCTAACTTAACCATCACCTGACTTAAATAACACCTCACTTATTCAACATCTGACTTAACCAACACCTTACTTAACCAACACCTCACTTAACCAACATCTGACTTAACCAACATCTCACTTTACCAACACCTGACTTAACCAACATCTCACTTTACCAACACCTGACTTAATTAAAATCAATTTTAACCAACACCTCACTTAACAAACACCTCACTTAACAAACACCTGACTTATCCAACACCTGATTGTGCTATGACTTAGATCTAACAACATCTCGTAGTTAACTTTACAGAAATTTTGACTTTAAGGTCATCATGTGGCTTCTAACATGATGATATGTTTCTGACGACAAACTTTACCTGGGAAGGCCATAATGACATTACAAATTTCATACAATGTTATCACACTTTGTAACAGACTCTGAGTCATATGAAGAAAGATTTCCTGTGGACATGTCATTCACACTAAATTTGCATTTATTTTATTTATTTTTTGATAAACATCATTCCTACACTTCAGGACATTTTCTTTTTTATAATCACATTAAAAAAATTATGTTTTACATCAATTGTCTGCAGATATCTTATCATCAATTGGACATGACATTCATTCCCCCATGAACAAGTTTTAGATACTCCCGTTAGAGTGTGTGTTTTAAGTGTAATGACTATCACCTGTAGATCTCTGTATACGATTTCTGTTTCTCACCTGTCCATTATGATTTACCCAAATCTCAAGCTCCCATACTTTATCCTTACAATCATTCCAACACACTTACATTGAGTCAAGTTGATTTCTAGGATGATCTTGAGACTTTCGAGATATTCACAGAAATTGTAACACATTAGTAGTGTACTCGATATTGGAGCTGGTTCACAGAACTTTTATTACAACTATCACAAAACTATTCTGTCCAGCTTGTGAATCCTCTGTATTTCACCATTCTCAGAAGCCCAGCACTATTAGGGATTTTCCGGATTGTGTTCCTTGTCTAATGTATCAGTACAGGTATACTATCCATCAAGTCTGAGTCTATATTGCTTAGTGTAGATATGTCACCACTCCCATTGTACAGGTACATAACCAAAACCTCAGCCCAGAAATAAAACACTTGACAGAAAAACAAAAAACCAACAAAAGGCAAAGCAAATAGCCACCTGCAGAGATAACATGTTTCTGTGGTCCTGCTATATACCTGTCCTTACCGACTGTAAGATGTTCTGTATCACACTGCACTACTGGATGGCTGTACTAATTACAAGGTATAGAGGAGAGGCGGGGTGGGGGCGGGGTTAAAGAACCAACATGTTTTATTTCATACAGAAATGATGAAAAACTTGTTTTATGTAAGAAATGAAGAAAGACACTGATACCTAAATTAAGAATTAAGTTTATCCCTTGTACTTTATCTAAAGAAAGGATGAAGACAGTTTTACTCAGAAAAGGAAAGAATCTTCGTCATTATCTATTTAAAGGAGGTATGGGGAAAGACAGTTTTACTTAAAGGCATAATTAGAAAGAAATATCTAGCATATACATACACTTCACTTACGAACAAAGGGAGACAAACACTTCACTAGAAATTATCAAATATTGGATGTCTTAGTGTTCAGAGGTGAAGATTTTCAGAGAATAGAGTTTGGAAGTTGGGGCTGTCTTATTAGTTTTAACCAAAATGTTGTTAGTTCAACCCCTAACTGGAACAGAACAACACTCCTGCCTATTACTTGTTCAAGTAAAAAGAAGAGAGAGGTAGACAACCACACACACCTGGTATAGCTACCAGGTCAATAAACATTATGTTTATTTTGAAATAAAATTTAGGTATATACATTACAATATACCTTTTACATAGCTCTCCTGTTATGATTTATGTATAATACAACACAATGATTTTGTCATAAGTTTTAAAAAAGTCACTTGAATGAAACTTCAAGGTATCTGTATGTCCTAAAATATAAGACAATTTTATTTCTTCGTCAATCTTTGTAACTATAAGAATGTTTTTCTAATATAAAATCTGCAAATTCAATCCACACCCATTTTTATTTTTTTAACAAATCAGTTTATCTTCAATAACAGGTTTAAGTGAAAAGGAGTGTAGAGTATATATCATACAGGGTGGACAGCTAACTAAAGAAACACTCTAGGTGTTCATCATACACGGAACTAGTGTTGGTTATGGACGATAAATGTAAACGTTCCTCATATTTCTGTCTGCTGTCTAAATTTGTAATGGTTGAGGATGCTTACTAAAGAGCAACAACTTTACTATTATATCATCGCAAACTTCTTTTCTTTATTACTCTTTATTTCTGTTTTTATCACACTAATGAGGGAAGAGGAAGGACGGAATCGAGACATGAAAAAACTCAAAATCAAAACCCAAGCTGAATGGCAATCAAACACTAATTGAACTGTCAGTAAATATTCTAATAAATTATTTCCTTTCTTAGGAAAAAATATGTGAAGGGATGTAAAACTCCTGAGGAGGGAGAGAAAGGCTGCCAAAACTAGAGGGTGTGTAACTATCATCTTTCTATCCCAGGTTTCATACAGTAAACATGAAATCACCTCTGACAAAACTCTCACGATCACGCCAGTCATCTATTATAAACTTACAACATGACTCAGACAAAGAAAATAATTGGAGAGAAAAACAGACAAGTTTTAATTGAGGGAACATGCCACAGACGGATGAGACGTACTTATAGACCTGACTATAAACACCCTCTGGAGGTGAAACGATTCAGTATAAACAATGCTCCCGTGGAAAATTCAAGAATTATACAAAAGACAGAAATTGTAAACAATAACAAAAAAACAAAAAAGATTTGATTTTGTTTACATAAGCAAGAAACTAAAATTGATTCCTAACTTGTTCTCTAATTTGAATAAAAACCATCTTCAGTTTTTCCAATGGTAGGTTTATCAGAGGTAGAATATAATGTATATCCACTATTTATCAGTCTATACAACCCTAATACTTGAGTGTGTGTGCTTTTTTTTAAAGTTAACACATATTAATTGGACTTCTTTCACAAAAGAGTTTCAATCTAAGAAATTAGTAAAGTAACAATATCTTCAAATCGTTTTCAGGTTATTGTAAATCTGCAAAGTATCTGTTATAGATGATTGATAAATCCCTAGCGAACAAAGGGGCTTTTTTTTAGCATGAATTGAACTTAAGGTAAACCACAGATGTAATATGTAGCGTATGTCTTACACGGAGGTTAAAAATTCCATGTTTGTTTAGTTACATCACAGCAGTATGTAAACAGACTTCATCATCACAATAAAACACAGATCATCACATGGTCTTATTGGTGTAGTGCACAGTCTGCCTACATACTCCAGTGGCTACCACTGTGAGATGGTGACCCTTACCTACACACCTGTAAAGTAGTCCTCCCACAACATACCTGATGCTATACATACACAGGTGCAACTTGCCAAAGATTACCTGTAGGACTTATAGGACCTTATATATGACTTACCTGTCGCTTAGTTATGTATGAACAGAATTGAAAGGTTGAGAATTAGACAACTTATGGTCATGCATTTAGGCTTTAATTAGAAAACAGTTTTACTGTTTTGAATTTCTGTGCCATTTCCAGGAAATTTGAACACCATACATGTGGTCTATAAGGGAGCATAACTAATAATCCCATTGATACTGACCATGGCCGGTATCAAAATGAAAACGTTGTATATTAAAGCTAAGGATTCGAAGGCAAAATACAATTTAGAATTTAGAATTTTGAATGTTTGATATATATTTATCAGGGTGATACTTATAAAAACATGAATTGTGAAAATGAATTTGCTGTGTATCTACAAGATGCACATTCATTTCATTTGTCTGAAGAAAAATTGAAAATCAAAGGTTTTTAAGAAATGAATTGGTCTTGAAATTAGTTGATTTGAAGCTAGTAATAAGTAATATATTGTATTTTTACATTTGTAATTGTAAACTTGAAGCAAAGTGAACTCATTCTTGGATTTCATTTCAGTAATAATGACCATAAATACTAAATACTAAAGTTATGGAAGGTGTTACATCATAAAAATTACATGAAAAACCTCAAATTGTTGCATTTCATGATTGTATGAACTTTCATCATCATAATGACTCAATTTGGAAACGGATCGGATACAACATGCCAGAAGACAGGAGCAACATGTGTAACACAAAATGTCTGTAACAAGGGGACGTAAACCAAATAATCAAGTTACAGACCTGAAGAGACTCAACAGACTGTTCTACAGTTATTAAAGATATTCTCAACGATATTTTACATTACTGTACTCTAATTGTTGATAAAGGTCGATAATAACAGTGTACAATTTCAATTCGTAACATTCCATTAATTTTTTATGGAAAATCTTTATTTATTGAACTGTCGTTTTCCGACAAAGATATAAAGTGCAGTCCTTTGTCTGTGCTTGTTAAATGTCATTTGCCCGTACAAAAGGCTGAAAAGGCCAAAAGGCTGTTAAATAAATTAATAGCTTGAATCATCTGAAATTGTTAGTGTGTCAAGGTCATTTACTAGAACAACAAATAAGCTGCAACAAGGAAGCAGGTAAATCTCCATTATCAACACATTATATCAACATATTTGACTTCTGTGACCTTCAGAGCAGGCTATTGGGTAATTTAAACCGATCTTACAGTCCTTCCTCCTAACATGATGATACATCAACAATGCAGGCCAAATAGAATTACACAATACTTTTTCTATCTTCAGACGTTGTAAACACAATTCATAGCTTTTAACAGCCGCAATTTCATCACGTTTACAATTCTCTATATTTATGAATTATTGAACGTCAAGGTCATTCATTTCAAAAACAATTCAACAACCTATCTACCCTACCTACTTGCTAATTAAATACAGACTTCTTGCTTTATGGATGTCGGTTCAACACAAACTTAAAATCACCAATGTTACCTTTTTTTTCAGTATACTTGAACAAAGGCTTGATAAATGTATATGGATTCTTGTCATACACTTTGACTTCATAAAGGTGAAAGGTCACAAATGTTTGATGTCCACAGAATGTTAACTTACGTTGCTTTCGTTCATCTGAGCTGAGAGTGTAGGGATGTCACCAGTAGCTGGATCTTCAGCATGAAGGAACACTTCCATCTCCTCCATCCATCTGTTGAGTCCAACTGTTTGATTCTACAACATACAATAACAGTAGAGATGTATGTCTGGTTCTATAACACACAATAACAGTAGAAGTGTCTGTCTGGTTCTACAACACACAATAACAGTAGAGATGTCTGTCTGGTTCTACAACATACAATAACAGTAGAGATGTCTGTCTGGTTCTACAACACACAATAACAGTAGAGATGTTGGTCTGGTTCTACAACACACAATAACAGTAGAGATGTCTGTCTGGTTCTACAGCACACAATAACAGTAGAGATGTCTGTCTGCTTCTACAACACACAATAACAGTAGAGATGTATGTCTGGTTCTACAGCACACAATAACAGTAGAGATGTATGTCTGGTTCTACAGCACACAATAACAGTAGAGATGTCTGTCTGGTTCTACAACACACAATAACAGTAGAGATGTCTGTCTGGTTCTACAACAAACAATAACAGTAGAGATGTCTGTCTGGTTCTACAACACACAATAACAGTAGAGATGTCTGTCTGGTTCTACAACACACAATATAACAGTAGAGATGTATGTCTGGTTCTACAACACACAATAACAGTAGAGATGTATGTCTGGTTCTACAACACACAATAACAGTAGAGATGTCTGTCTGGTTCTACAACACACAATATAACAGTAGAGATGTATGTCTGGTTCTACAGCACACAATAACAGTAGAGATGTATGTCTGGTTCTACAACACACAATAACAGTAGAGATGTATGTCTGGTTCTACAACACACAATAACAGTAGAGATGTATGTCTGGTTCTACAGCACACAATAACAGTAGAGATGTCTGTCTGATTCTACAACACACAACAACAGTAGAGATGTCTGTCTGGTTCTACAACACACAATAACAGTAGAGATGTCTGTCTGGTTCTACAACACACAATAACAGTAGAGATGTCTGTATGGTTCTACAGCACTGGGAAAACAAAGGGACACACCACAATTTATTTTTAGATACAAGTACAGTGTATGTGCAGGTTTTAATGACAAATAATGAAAACAAAATGAGAAGATAATTTAACTCCCATTTTGAAATCTAGTTAAATGAAATCAAAATCTAAAATCCTTCATCTCCATACTACCTGAATCCAACCAATGAGAATGCAAGATATAATTACCAGGTATGCAAATAATAATTGATGGTTCTTATGCTGCATTACATACACTGTGTGCATATGAGAAAACAATATCATAATTCCTGTATAACTAGTTTATAACTGTAACAGAAGCACATCCACACACTGACTACCACCTACAAGTTGTCCAACTGCATCAGCTCTTTCCAGAGATCTATTTTTATCTTTTGTAATAAAATCTAGATTCTAGTTTAGTTAGCATATGGACTTCAAAATGTTTAAAGAAACTTAGATATTATTCCCATGAAATCAAATTTGATAAATATATTATTACAAGGAGTCAAGAAGCAGACACTATTTTTAACATTAAATATGCTATATCTAATACTATAACTGACCTCATTACTTATGAATTTAATCCCATTATACAACATGTACAGTCACGGCTAGACACTATATCTAAAAATAGCATTTTCATGAATCGGAACAATAACTGCTTTCTGATAAAAATCAGGGAAGAAAAACTGTTTCCCTAATTGAACTCTGTAGATATAAAGTAATCAAACTTGTGTTCACTTACCCTGGGTGGTAGCCATATTTTTGATAGCCAACATCAGTAAAAGATCCTGATCAAACTTAAAATGATACAGATTCTCCTTATACTGAGACTGACAACGAATAACTTCCAGATTTATCGGTGAGGATTCTGAAATTCTTGTCACAGTTAACAAGATGTGTTATGTAAAAACCCTCTAACAGGAACACAGGTCTGTAGCTACATATACCGTTGCATCACTAGCTATATTTATCACAATGTTCTGTCCCGTACATCTATTTATACACAGCTTTTTTTCTAAATTTCCTCACACAGCAAGTGATGTGTAACTCAACAGGCACTGTTTCATTCATAAATAATCATGAATGGGTTGTTATAGGCTGATGATGACCAGGAGTTGTAAAATAGAAGTTTTATAACTCTCCCAACAGGTGGTAGCTAGATCTCGTACTACCTCGTTTACCTGTCCAACACCTAGCTGATATGTTCCATTCAGTTATGTGTATAAGATATAGTAAAAACACAAACTTAAATCCACTTAACTGGTCAGCAGAGTACAAACATGACAGACACTTTTGAACGGTCAAGTGTACCCTCTGGCCAAAGACTTTCACTCCGTATTATGGTTCTACGCTGATATCATTATGTGCGAGTCCTTGAGTTTTCTACTGATAGCTAGAGTTGTTATAATTTACAACTACTTCATACAATAATCATACTTAAGGTATCAGCCTTCGCAAACGTAAGAAACCACAGGTCACACGCTGTCTTAAAGTTAATCTCATCAGATGTGTGAGAGATTGTGTCTTTATATCCTTAGCACAAGCCTGTTTAGACATATGCTTCAGGAATGACATAAAGTGTTTCGAAAAAAAAAATTCTTTTATACTACCAGACCGAATTTAACAATCTCTGAACAAATCATATCTGTTAGTGATATAACAAATAGCCTACCCAACCTCACAGCTATAAATCACACCAGACATTTTTTTATTGACTTCTATTACTTCGGTCAATTCAGCAAACATCCCAATGAACCTAGGAGGCCTATATAGAAAGCCATTCTCTGGTATATAATACCATTATATAGCCACTGTAACCCTTTCCTCACGATCTCCTACGATACCAATAAAATCAGCCTCTCTTCTATCGACATAAATAGTGCTGACATCACACATCCCGTACTAGGTCGAGATGTCTATGTCGTCTGGCCCAATCTGCGCTTCACAATTTAATTACCAGCAAAAAAAAAAAACTCTTCCATTAATGATGTTGTCCTTTTCAATCAAATATCTATTGACATTTTCTGCTGCCAGCTCAAATCGACAATTCACACACAAACTATCGTATTTTCATCTATATATAGTTACTAAGTAAACAAATTAGACCAGAAGGAAACATCGATATATCGAAAAAAAGACTAAAGCATCAATGTTTGTACAGTAAATGCTATAAACATTTCCTTCCGGACAGCAAGCATCGCTCGATGCTCATGAAGAGCTATTTACAGACAGAGATCAAGTGCCTATCGACCTTGTCACTTCCAGTCTGGCATGTGGTGATTCGGTAATGGCCCCCGTACGATTAATCAGTGAAAAGGTTATCACAGAATACAAGTCCTAATTTAGTAAATCAGTAACAAGAAGAGTGAACAACATTAAAGATCAATACTATACATTATATTTCATTTCCTTAATTAAATAATTTTCAATTAATTTCAATAACTGGCCTATCAGCATACACAAACACATTCTAAACACTTGAGATGATAATGAAAATCTCATTGACGACTGGTACTTGGCATAATCTCATTGCAGACGGTGCTTGAAATTCAATATTTACCTTGGGATCAAACCGTTCAGTTATTGTTATGATAGGAGATTATAAAAGAAACTGGAATCTAAAATATGGTACAACACATGTAAAGGTTTTTGTGTATGTTTATAGCTTGCTTTGTACAAAAATTTATCGATCAAAAGAAAGAAATAGCCAAGTTTCCCGACTTCAACAGCGATAAACTTTTTATTTCACATGACGTAAACATTAATGACAGCTATTATTGTGGCCATTGTTGTCTGCCTCAGCAATTTCTAACTCGGAATGGTGACATCACCTGATTTTTGTCACAAGATCTACTGCAGGGAAATATTATATGGTAAAGTTTGACAAATATCAGAGGTAACGGTGACATTACCTAATTTTTCACAAGATCTATTGCAAGGAAATATTACATGGTGAAGTTTGACGACTATCAGAGGTAACAGTGACATTACCTAATTTTTGTCACATGATCTATTGCAGGGAAATACCATATGGTGAAGTTTGATGAGTATCAGACGGAAAGACAATGTAGATGAAGCGTAATAAAAACATTGAACAATTCAGTGCACCATAAAGCTGGTGATTTTCATTGCTCAAAATTTCGGCAACTTTATCTTGAAAAGATCAGGTTATATTTTAACGAAATCAAATTTCCCAATCTGGATGTAAATTGACAAATAACATATAAATGTCATTATTTCACAGATTGAATTTAAGTTTTACGATCACATTGATGTACCGTAACTTGTGAAAATAACATTCCTGCGAAAGTAACTCACTACACATAACCAGAATGAGTACTTTAATATGAGACAAATATAAATTTGAGCCTCAACATATAATGATAAGTCATTGTGAATGTTCTATTCCTACGACAGAAACATCATTAACAAGTATTAAAGACTTTTGATCTTCTGATCAATCAAAAACTACGGTCTGAAACTAATTCCCCTTAACCTTTTTCATGAACAAGAGGCAGAATGGGCCTTAACGGTCATCTGACATAAAATACAAGATTTCAAATTTTGAACTTAAGAAGAAGTCGAAAAAGTGTTTTCAAGATGGCAGCCATGTTGGATTTAAGACCAACCCGAAATTAACAAACTTTGGTCAGAATCATGTCACGATCATTCCAGGTAAGTTTCAGCTCAATGAGACATGTAGAATGTTGAAAATGTTTACGACAGGTGACGCCAAACAAAAGGCGATCGCAATAGGTCATTCGACCCTTCGGTCAGACGACCTAAAGATTTGTATTCAAGTCAGTGTGGCTTGTATATAGTGTTGTATATGGTCTTTGTCACTCAGCTGATAGAGCATGCTTCTTTGGATCAAATGATAGGGTAGGTTATTATCATGCTGGAGACCGGGGTTTGATTTCTGGTTGGGACACTTGACAGGAATGTGAATTTTCCCTATTATTTCAGATTGAAACCCAACCAAATCCCACAGGTTGTAGCATTTGGAGTCTCAGGTTGAGATTTCAGGGGAAAAAACAGCGGGTCGCTGTGGCTTGTATACGTAGACTCAGGTTTGATTCCTGGTACAGGAACGCAACAGGAATGTGTATTTGCGATGTTCTTTCTCAAATTTATAGTCCATACAACTCAAAAGTTAAGGCAAACGTAGCAATAAGACATGGTTTCTCACTACAAAATTATGACAATATAGGAAGGTTTAAATCAGAACTCACGAAGTTTTACCAACAAATGGTGGAGGTATCACAAGTGTTTACTGTCTAGTGGTTTGTTATGTCTATCTTATTCTAAACAAACGATAACCAGCCAAATCAAAATGTTCTCTGATTAAGTATTATTTGCCAATCCATACCTGGTACTGTTTAAGCTGACCAATGGCTCGCTCGAGCTTATCTAAACGTTCATCTATCACTGAGGAAACGTGGCTCCAGCGTGAGTTCAGGCCTTTCAGGTCCTTTTCTAGTTTACGAGCCTTATCCTCAGTCGGTGCCTTGGACAGTAGATCCTGACCAGTTTTATTGATGTAATCCAGGCTGCTGATGTGGTCCTGCAGGTCAGTCTGAAGGGACTGTGTAAGAGGCAAAAAGACATGTTTTAAGACTACTGGAAACAATGGTGTCAGTACTGTAGCCTTTATACAGAGATAGCTAGTGTCTAGGGAGTCTAAATTCTGTAATTAACTCTAGTTTTATACAGGTTGTGTCTTTATATAAGCAAAACACAAAAACAGATGTAAATCATTAAAATTCTTATTAAACTCAGGGGAAAAAGGATGTTTACAAATGGCAACTATATTAAAAAAGAAAAATGTGTGAAATACAGACAAAGAGGATACAAATTTTAAACAAATGGAAGACAGCTAATAGAAGGGCAATAACTTAAAGCGTAAGGGAGATAACTTACCCTGAACTGTTGTAACTGGGTGTCAAGCACCTCAACATTTGTGATAACAAATTTCTCTGTTTCCAGGACGGACTCCATATCACTAAGCCATTTCAGAAGGGCACCCATTGCCTCCAAGAATGTTCTTGGTGGCGCTTTCTCCAATGCATCAGATAAATGCTGCTGGCGTTTACCTGTTGAGAGACAAATCATGGGTCATGAACTTTCTTGAGCAGGATTATACCAGAATTAATTAAAACACAAAGTAAAAATCAGTTTAATTCCTTTAGAATCTTCAAAAATCCAGAAGCAAGAAAGAAATTTAAATGAACTATAACCTGTGTCTCAGATCATCTACAACACATCAAAAGTGAATAAGTATTTTCTCTCAAATGTTGTTTGTATCCCGAAAATGACAGTTATTTATAGTCACTGTCTCTAGACAAAGTTTGGTCACAAAAACCAACACAATCTATATAAGTAATGGTATCCCAATACAGTGAAGGCAATCCAACATCCTATAGGGAATGGTCAGTCAATGTATCTGTGTCAGAAACCTAGATAGATACCAAAACGTATTCTACAAGAGTTCCATCAAAGGGAGGTAAATACAAAAAAAGGAGAGGATGGAGCATCAACAACGAAGGTTTCGAGGCACATGGTAAACAAAAGGACATTTCTGCAAGATTCTACTTCAGTACACAACACTGCTACATCTAATACGGAACCCTTGGTGTTGGCATTCCATCCTTTCCCTCATTGTAAAAACCAACAAAGAAACATTACATGTATGTAGTTGGGAATGAGGTCTAATTCTTTACAACACTACACCACACCAAGAGGAAATCAGATACAGAATTAGACAGTTATGGGTTAGCCCAGACATAGTGACAGACAACCAACATCTATGTGTTACAGTTTAAATCCTTAATGTTTTGTTGCAGAATCCATCATACCATGTACTACCTACACACAGAATATAGGAATTGTAGGTGAAAGCACAGCCGATATCACCTCGACTATGTGACAGAAGATGGACAAAGGGCTATAACTCTAGATACAAGGTGTATTGGAATTGAAATCCTTTCTATGTGTTCAATGCTCTGTCATATAAAGAGGTACTATTAAATCAATTTGGACAATCAGGTGAGGTAGTGTTCTAGATATTCCATAAACACAGTAACATATTGTAAACAAAGGGACATTTCTGCAAGATTCTACTTCAGTACACAATACTGCTACCTCTGATAGGGCACACATAGTCACATGCAAAATTTGACAGTAGTATGAAAGTCATGCCCTTGACAAAATTCAGAAGCACTGATCGAAGAAGAATTGCTTACCAGTAATTCATTTAGGAAGTACCAGTAAAGACGAAAATTCTGTTAGAAACTCGTTGAATTATGAACAAGTTTTTTTTTTTTTCTCCCTTTGGCAAAAATTTATTAGCAATTTCATAAAAAAAATTATAATAATAACACTCTCCCCTTCCTGGTTTCATATTTGAATGAAATGATAAACATCTGTAGCTTTTGTTTATGAATATTACTGTCCAATACAAATCATACACAATGATGTTTACGCCTAAAGATATTATCCACAAGTGTTTACACTAAGGTAGCCAATATATGGATAGAGGAACCCTGGATTCCAGCTGATGAGGAAATGACTGTGACCTTTGATCTCAAAGACAGGTACAACATATTCCATCCGCTATTTGTATGTAACAGCTGTACTTAGCTATATACATATGGTGATCATGCACTAGCATTCAAGTGTTCAATATATATAGACACTAGCTTTCAATTTCAATTCTTACACTCCAAGGAAATTCAAATTTATATTTTCATGTTTTGTTTTTTTTAAAGTAACACAATAACGGCTTCCATCTAATTAAAAATCAAATGATATCAAAAGCACAACATTTAAAACATCTGTTGGAGGTGTAACATCCTGTTCATTGATATGTTTGTAACGAGGTGTCTTTAGTATGATTATCAATAAAGCTTCAGATTGACAATGAATGATATTTAATATCCGTATGAGGTGCTCTTGGTATCTCACAGTTATCATTACAGCATGACATTTTAGTTTGTTTGCTGGGTTTAACATCCATGAACAGTCAGGGTCACTTTGAGGCAGGGTCTTCCTGTAATAGCTGGTTGCTTCCTCAGTGAAAACATACCGGAGGCCCATTGCATGCCATCAAGAACAATAATAGTAAAGTGTCTTGTCCAAGGAGAAAACCATGTCAGCACAGACCTGTCTATTTCTTAGCTTCCTTAGAAACACCAACCACCATGGGTAGGGAACATCACACAATGTATCTGTCTCCTTATCCGACTGATTACAACACATATGTAAGGTCAAACTCCTTCACTATATATATTTTCTGAATAGCCAACGAAACATCTGTGCACTAATATCTAAGTAAAGGTCCACATTCATCACAGGGTGGTTAAGTGTTTGCCTTTCATCTAGATGACAGGGGTACAACTCCCCAATCAGACATGAAAAGATACGGAGTTATCTGCCCTTTTCTTCGGGTAATCCATTTTTCCTCCCACAGTATGTAGACAAAGTCCATCATCAGAAACGACCAAAAAGAATTGCACTGTGTAATGTTAACCAAGGGAAGGAGAGAATGCAGGAGGGTGTTGCTGATGCAGAAATGATAACAAAACACAAGACAGGTAAAAAAAACAGGAAAAAGTTGAGTCAATACTCACTGATTTTACTGTACACTGTCTCCCAGCGGTCATTAAAGGAATCCAGATCTGTGTTCATTTGGTCTGGGGACTTTGACCGCTTCACCAGTGATCTGCCATGGGACGTCATCTGTTCTACACGATCCTCGTTGGTCTTCATAGCTTTTAACTTCACCTATACAACAGTCAGAAATAATGTGTTGTTACGTGTGTAAGTCTGTATACCAACTACATACAGAAAAATAATGCAATGTTAAACGTATAGGTCTGTACCTCGTCTACATACAAGAAATGAGAGTCAGCAATGACTGTTTTCAAGACCAAGCCAAGGAAAATAATATTTTGAAATGTCCGCCATTTTCTTTCTATGTATTATTTGAAATGGTCTTTAATTACCTAATAGTTTAGGGGTGGCAAACGTAAAATTATTTGTTCTTTTTCTTAAGAATTATTCAAGATAACACTGAAAAGATGATATTTTCTCTGTGTCAAAAATCTTTGGAACATAAAATCTATGAAAAGCATGTTTACCTGAAGACATAAATAAATTCAATGTTCATATGAGCATCCATATCAATCTGATATAAAAATCATTTCTTAAATCATTCAAAATTAAAAAGCAAACAATAAGACAGTATTGTTAATGAAGTTCAGAAGTAACATTCTTTAATTCAGCTTTAAAAGTCACAGAAAAAGGACCGATCATTTTTGTCCAGCAAGTCTACACAGTCATTTAGAGTTACTTACCCTGCACTGTTCCAGCTGTTTCGTGATCTCAGTGGCCTCTTCTGCGATGTGTTCAGCTGTGCCGACCCATTTTTCATAGCTGCCCATGAGTTCTTGGAGGGCATGAAGTTCGTCATAGAACTTTTTGGTCTCCATGTTGAGGTCCACTTGGACCTGTGTGTCAGCCAGCAGCCTGTGGAGTCGTTCCCACCGCTGGTCGAGCTCTGTAATGGACTTCTGCAGCGCATCAAAAGGCTCACCAGCTGTCAACAAACAACAGTACTGCGTGTTACACCGTCTGACCGCATAATCTCACATGTAGGAATCACAAAACTCTCTAAAATGGCCACTGCTCTCCTTTATATAATGCAGTCTACGAAAGTTTTTCAAACAAATCAAAGCCACTTCCTTGTAGTAAACAAACATTTCAATTACATTCCATACGCCAGCAACACAACTTTTCCAAGCTATTTACAAAACATGTGCTAGCAGAGCTTTAACATTCAAATGTTATAATGTTAATTAGCTTAGACTGGAAACAACGAAAATTGCAAATATAAAACTACAAATTTTGACCCAATTTGATGTCAGTAGCCGAGGAAACAGAGACCTAACTGTCAAAATATGTAGGTAGGCAAACAAATCCTGCCTCCTCACAATAACAGCGGCAGACAGCCAGCGTTTACACAAACCAGACTCTTTACATAATAACAGAAAGTCATAGAGTAAATATCCCCAACATTCAGTGGAACTCATTACATGTTGTTCCGTCAAAAGCTGCAAATATCTAAATTTTTAGTTCAAACCAAATACTAGTCTTAACACAAAATGATTTCAAACATATTTTTTCAACTCGATCCCATTTCACAGACTAAATTATATTCACATTTAATGCTTTCTGTTCTTTTTGCAAGATTACGAAGTTAGATTATATTTATTTCCTTTCGAAGTTGATTGACATTTACCACAGACACTGCCAACCTTGTATACAACTCTTCTATCAGGACAGACAACTATCCCCTGTAACACCTCACAGAACAGCTGGCCTTCAGCTTCAGTATTTATAGCACATCTTAATTTCAAACATCTGCTTCTCATTTATAATTTTAAAACAACAGAGAAAGGCAGAAACGTGTTGACTGGATATGTCTCAATATGATTTTATTTGATTTGGGAAAAATTCCTGTCATTTCAATTAAATAATACCAAGTAACCGTACTGACAACTGACAAAAAATTTTTTACGACAGGTGTAACTCATCATAAACTCAAGCAACTTTGTAGAAAGGGAAGTAAATCTGTTGATGCAGGTCAGTAAACTTTAGAGTAAATAGGTGAAAGGGGAAATAACTCTTTCAGCCCTAAGGTTTAACAAAACTTAATCAACACTATTCTGGAATGAAGAACTTCATCCCTTATCAAGACTTTCACACAAATAAGATTTCCAGAAATCAGTTGTAGCAAGAAAAATTAATTAATTCTTGTTACAAACTTCCATTTTGCAAAATATTGAATTTGATCAATAAACTGAAGGTGATTGAAACACAAGAAAAAGGAAAAAAACAAGTAACTGGAATTCATTCTAGCAGTTTACCAATTTATATAGAATTTTGATCAAGATCAATTTAGACAATGTATTGACATAATAGTAAAAACTTTTGCCAGATTTACAGGTACGGGAGTTGGTTGGTTACTTAAATCTGTAGAAGTGTATATATTGATGAAAAAACAGCTGTAAATGTGATGACAAACCGTAAGCAGTGAAACCGAGGCATTGTCATGATCAGTCACTGTGGGTCAGATCCCAGCTTGGGAGAATTTATCTGTTCAAGATCTGCTTGGCCTTAGCAAATTGGTGTTTTTGAAAGAGCTAGACAATAGAATGCTGTGAAGAAATTGCTAATTTATAATCATTTTTACTTAATTTAAATCAGTGTAAATTCTTCATCACTTCTCTCTTGCTTCAGTTCATAAGAGAAACATATGACTTACACATTTTAAATTCTGTCAGCATACTCCTGCCAAGGGAGAGAACTTTGTACACCTCATCTGAGTGAGCCTTCACATCATTTTCTGTGTCCTGTAAAAACATGAATATTATCAAACAGTCAGATCAGTATAATCATCACCTTATCACAAGCAATATCAGTTTAATAAAATGAAATTAAAATTGGCTTTTGATATGCTACTAGAAACGATGTATGAAGTTACAGATCATATCAATATGACTATGAATAAATTCACATATGAAAAACGCGGCGTTCGAATGTGTTTACCTGTTACAGAAAACATTGTACAAGCACTAGATGTAACAAATCACGCACACATTTAGACTCTAGGCCTATCAATGAAAAATTCTTTCAGCGCTTCATTGTCCAAACACTAAATATGACAAATTGCCTGATCACAATCCTTTACGTATTAATCTCTCGGAATTGTATGGACCAGATTTCATCAAAAAGTTGGTACTGGTTTGACGGTTTCATTTTTATCATTCCTGAAGATGCACGCAACCAAGCTAAATGTATGTTTTTTGTAAACTTTTTTTAACGTGTAGGTAAGTCACTGCTACAGGATGGTGACATTAATTAAGAAGCAACCTCAAATTGGATAATTAAACTGGTAAGAGACTACGTGTTGTGTGTACGATGAACTGATACGCCGTAATTAATCATGTGTTACACACAGGTGACTTTCTACTCTATGTATGTACTGACTGATATCATCACAATACCTGTCAAATTTTTGACAAAAATTAATTTCGAGACAAGAAATAACTTTTTCCTTGCTTTACAACTAAAGGGACTGAAAAAATGCTTCAACTCAACTTAAGTTTAAACTCAATGAAATTCAAGATATCCAAACTGAAATTACAAAGATATTGAAAGAAAAAGATCGGGAAAATGTTTCGACTCAAACTGAATTTCAGCTCAAGCAATTTATAGACGATGAGTTTCAACTGTAAATGGGTACCTGCGAGACTGGTAGTAATCATATGAACTGGTATATTTCTAAGTGAAAATCAGGTTCTCTTAACCATACCTGTACAAGTACAAGCTGTTCCTCCACAGTGAACTTGTCCTGCGGGGAGAGAGATGCATCGTCCTTAGTTAACATTTCCAGTGCAGACTCTGTCTTCTCAAACCATGCGGTCAGCTCAGTCATCTCAAAATCATACTCCTTACGTGTTGCAGTGTCAACTTTTCGCTTCTTGGCAGATGACACCGTCGGTGACCTCAGTGGTCCCTCGGCAGAAAATTCTGACATCATTTCCACTGATACTTTACTCAACTCTACTCCCGATCCTGCAATCTGTAATACAAAACAACTAGCACTGTGAATCAATTCAATACAAGTCCTCAACTTATCAAATTTGCAGAAGAAAACTTGATTACTATGATGACACAATGCTCCTGTGCAATTAAATGATTTGATCATTTCAACTTTGGAACATGGTTAAGTGAATTATACCTTCATCAGCTTTTCTGCCCGCAGTAACATCAATATGTTTATTAATTTTCTACTGTTTTATCATTTCTGTCTTCATCACAACAAGCCTTTGGAAAAAAATTCTTGGGCTGAATTATATTTTTAGACATTCCATCATCAAAAATCAAAGTTAGTTACTTTTTTGGGGTTGTAAAAACAAGACATCTAAATCTAGTTTGTAAGAAAAGGCCTAGAAGGCCTGTAAATTCATGAAACATCAACAGAGGGAAATACAAAAACAAAGCCTTGGAATAATGTTTCTAAAGAAGAAGATTTATATTGGTTATCTCTGCTATACTTGACACCTGAATTAATTTTAAGTGTTCACCTGTTTACTCTGCATCTCCATCTGCCGGACAAGCTTCTCCCATCTCTCCTGGAATCCCTCCAACTGAGAGCTGATTTGTTGGACAGTCTGCTCATTGTCCACGTACTGGACAATCTGCTGACCACACTCATTTAGCTCATCAAATCTCTGGACTTGCTCCACCATATCTGTTTCTATGGCCTGGTGAAGGATAAGATGAAACTTGATTATTATTCTTTACATTAAAATGAACAAGGAACTTACATGTTGGTGAAATATGGGGAAATGAACCATTATTTATTTCAAAGTGTTATATGACAAAAAAAATCTGTTAAAAACCTATCAGTGAAAATCTAAGTATATTGTATATGTCTAAGTAACGATATGATAACAGTTTACTCCAGTGTTTGCCTCCTACCTTTAAATCCTTGACTTGTGTAATGACCTTGTCAGGGTCATTAAGGTCACACTCTCTCATCTTACTGAGAACAGACTCCTTTTCAGCTAGCCAATCAGAGAACATGGCCTGCTCCTCTGAAAAGTGCTGCCATTTAAGGAGGACTTCCTGTAGGAGGAGCCACTGTTGTTCCGTCCAGTTACAGATGATTGCCCATCGCTTTCCCAAGTTCTGAAGCTGGTTCTCCATCACCTCATAGGCTGCAAATATAAGTCACAGAGACCTAATTTTATCAAACCACCTCATAGGCTGCAAATATAAGTCACGGTGACCTAATCATCAAACTATCTCGTAGACTGCAAATATAAGTCATGGTGACCTAATCATCAAACTATCTCATAGGCTGCAAATATAAGTCACGGTGACCTAATTATCAAACTATCTCGTAGACTGCAAATATAAGTCATGGTGACCTAATCATCAAACTATCTCATAGGCTGCAAATATAAGTCACGGTGACCTAATCATCAAACTATCTCATAGGCTGCAAATATAAGTCACGGTGACCTAATTAGCAAACTATCTCATAGGCTGCAAATATAAGTCACGGTGACCTAATTATCAAACTATCTCATAGACTGCAAATATAAGTCACGGTGACCTAATTATCAAACTATCTCATAGACTGCAAATATAAGTCACGGTGACCTAATTAGCAAACTATCTCATAGGCTGCAAATATAAGTCACAGTGGCCTTATTATCAAACCACCTCATAGGCTGCAAATATAAGTCACAGTGGCCTTATTATCAAACCACCTCATAGGCTGCAAATATAAGTCACAGTGGCCTTATTATCAAACCATCTTATGTGTGGAAATACAGGTCCAGCATCTTTACAGTCTGTTAAATCTTTCTTTTATATTCATATCATGAAGTAAAATTACCATTTTTTCAGCAAACCCACATGTCATGACAAACAAGATTTCTGTGTACAGTAAAACTCATTTTATTTGACACGTGCATGTATGTGGAAGACAACAACATATTGTAAAATTAACTCATCACCTCACACACCATAGAACTAAATGTATCTATTGTAATGTTCTACATCGCTGTTTTACAAAATTACATGCAGTCTTATGAATGTCAGATATGTAGCATTACTTTACTGAAAATGTTCTCCACTGGGTAGAATTTGTAAATGTATCATATCGCAAAATCATAAAAGTATTTCTCCAGAAAACAAAAATTACCATGCAGATACAAATAAGGGAAGACCTATAACTTCTTTATTTTCACTACCAATATCATATAAATCTAGTTGCTACACCAGTTAGTTGCTGAACTGTGTCACTCACCTTGTTCTGTATTTTCATCATCTACTATGACGACCATGTCTCGCAGGTTATCGACTTTCATTTGTTGCTGTTCCAGCTCCTCCTGTAGTTTCTGTTAACAAAAATAAACATGTAGTACACAACCAGTACATTTTCTATACTATAAAACTTTTTAACAGATCTTGTGTAAAATCATAACTGGAAGATATATCACCACAGATCTTCTTTTACAGTGTGACCTTTTATTGAAAATGTTAAGAAGGACGATGATTTCGATAAAATAAATGTCGCTGTAGTTTTAGCTAGAACCCCAAGGGACAATGAATCAGAGATAACAATACTTGTACTACAATGTTTCATGGTGTTTTCTATAATTTGTATTTATTACACAATTTGCCTCATATCTTTGGCATGGAACATTAGCCAAGTATCAACTTTCGACAATTCAAAAGAAAGTTATGTGCTGAGCTCATCCAGTTCATAACTTAAACCTGTTCTTTGCAATAAATAAACATTTCATTTTTATATTATGAAATTTAAATAAGCTATCACTTTCTTCAAACTTAATGTACAGAAAGGGATGTATTACATAATTTGGCATGTGTTATACAACTTTTGTATGTTAAAAAGATATATAAATATCATTCCTTGACTTTGGCTAACATTCAAATAAAAAAAAACAAGCAACAAAAACGCTAACCAAATAAATAGGTATCAATTGCGCCATAAATAATTTGCCCGTTAAGATCGTCCTTGCTTCAGTTTTATTTATCTACATCATGTTTTATCATCTGATATCAGATTCTCTACATCTGTAGTCTGTTCATGTGTATACTCTATATCAAACAATTTGATACCTGTCTAAGCCATCATACTGCCACTGTAGACAGATATGTGAAGTGAAGGCAACAGCCAGCTTCTGAGCCAACACAGACACCACTTTGGCAGAATGTACACATACACAGCCATCAACAACAAGGTGTTCAGTTTTATTTGCAATAATATCCTACCTATTTTATTTTGTATGCCTTTTGAGTATAACACCCCTAACAGAAACGAAACAATCAGTGTAATTTGTTACACGTTTGTTTGCCAGAGGCCAATACAGATATCTGCCATGTCTGATCTCAGAGACAAACATCTTTCAACCTATTTCAAGGTATCATGAAGTGACCATATGTATATTACACTGTTGCCTTCAAAGTCACCAGATCTTGGTAGTTTACATCACAGTTCTACAGACATTCCAATATCACAATATTTTTTACCCCTTTCATATAAAAATATAACTATTTAAACAGTCTTCTGATTGTTACCTTAAAAACAAACAAAAAATTCAAAGTGCGGTGAAATAATAATCAAACTTAATCAAACATGATTCATAATTGGGAAAGTTATGTCCAAAGTTCTGTCCAAGGTACTGTAAAGTGGTGAGAAGAGAATTCATTAAGCCCGACATTATATCAATACAATTATATGTCAAGGTCCTATTTTAGCAGGAATCCTGATTCAAGCAATTTGGAAGCATTAAATTCATACGACATGAATATTAAAATTATCATCAGTTTTCCCAATGCCAATCATGATATCTGGGAACCAGTAAATGAATATTCATTGGTTAATAATTTATCTCCAGTCTCTCTAAGGGATGTGTCTCCTCTTTCATCCCCTAATATCTTACTATATCTTACGGGCCCCTTACTTTTTCCTCTAGATCCCCCTTTATACATTCGTGTTTCACTTCTTGGATTCTTTACCTCAGATTCCTTCAATTTTTTAATATGTAAATGTTCAATCTGCCATGGTTTTATTTAGGTTTGCAGGTAAATAAACTGGAAATCAAATAAATCTGTACGGACATTATCAGCCAGTGCAACGGAATCTATTCCGGAAATTTATATACAACTAAACACAGATAACGGTACCGTACTGATGATCCTCTATTGGACTTGGCTAATTGCCATATATCTTAATTGTATATGTCTTTGGATGGCTATTAATGCCTAACATGCTAACACAAATCACAAGAAAGCGTACAAAAACTCAATTTAAAACAGATCACCGATATCTAAAGTCTACCTTTACTAGATAGGGAAAAAATCCTTCTTTATTTCCATGATATATCATATCTAAAAAAATCATGAAGCTTTTCTGGCCACAAATAGGGTCTGTTTTGAAAGTTTATGATGAGCCTGTATGAAAGTTATGGAAATAAAGCATGAAAGCAGTAATGGTATTTTCATTTTCTCAAACTTTTAATGGCTGTCCCCTAGTAGCTAAGAAAGCCTTACTCTTCAGATTCTAGCTCATAAGTTTTACAGAATGATTTTCAACACCTTCTGTAAAATACATACATTGAGAGACCAGCAACAACATTAAAAACATAGCAAGAGATCGTATTGAAAATTGTGAAACTGATTTAGATGTTCTCATCAATGGGTTTTTCCGATTCTATTGCAGGCTGAAATTTCAGGAATTTCATCACAGAATTGGTTAGATTTCTTGCATAGCTCATCCAATGGAAAAAAAAACATACAAGCATTTCAGCAATTTGCTGTAAGGAAATTTCCAGCTCAGTAACTCGTCTCTGTGGAAGGATTTGTTTTTTGAATTGAAATAAAATATATTCCGGAAAGACAGCTTGTTTATCATAAGAAACTTGTTAACGCTTTCAACCATTTCCTTCACCCGGTTGTCTGGGTTACAGAAGACACATCACTATTGCTGCCCATAAAGTTTAGGCAAGTTTTTTGTCATTCAAGATCTACATCCTCAAAATGTTTGAAAAGACAACACAGATACAAGGTTCTTCCAGACAGTGACTTTAGGAGATTCTGATAATGTAACTTCAAATTATTTTCATCATCCATCATTACCGTAAAATCAAATCTAACCTCACACTGCCATAAATATTTTATCAAAGTGAGTCTGTTGACCCAAATCCTTATGTATGGGAATAGAAAAGTCTGTACATTTACCACACCAGAACAAAATGTTGATGAAAGGGTCAGGCAGTTGGCACTTTGGGTGAGGAGAATACAAGTGAATATGTACACAAAATCAATATGTTCTGATACTTTAGGAAGCATCAAGCAGTTAGAAGTACAGAAAAAATATTTCTAAACTAAATTATGCATGATATCTGTTACAAGTAGATATAAGCAACAAGTCAAGATAATTAATCTTATTGTAAACCTTCAATATCACAATGAGTGTTTCTGTCTTTGTAAAACGTATTTCAAAAATTTTTGTTAGAAGTTGTGAGAATTGTTATTAAGCTCTTCTACAGGATTATCCTTCGTCTTGTATTTATCCTTGTATGTGATGATACCACTTGACTCAGTATATTCTTGCTGAAAAATTGAACACCACTTGTCATATACATTATAAGTATTAAACAATTTAACTGTAGAGGTTGGTCATCTACTCTCTCTATGATTAGATATATATTTACCCTATGATCATCCACTTGTTTTCGAATAGCTGCCAAGTCTGATCCAATTGGTTCCTGGTTTTGAATTCGAGCCTCAGTTTGGCCCATCCAATGAGCAAGCTCATCCAACTGTTTCTGTTGAAGTTCCATTAACGCCTTGTGTAAACTAAAATGACAAAACATACACATCCATATGATGTAATACCAAACATGTGTAAATACATACACAACATATATACTATACCTATAACATCGTTTTTTTCACCAGTGTCTAAATGTTGCTATTTTTACCAAAATATTTTTTCGTTTTTGAATTATATAAGATCCAATCAGACTCACACACACACACACACACTGCTGTCATAAACAGATATATTTTGGTCTTCATTTTTGTGTCAGCAAAACAATTAGGATCTTGTAAATATATCTAACTGTTTTAATTCTATCCCTTCTTCTAAAATAAATAAATTTATGACCATAATCTCCTTTAACAAGATAAACTTAAGCATTCTTATATATCAAAAATCATATTCCAGTCATTAGTTATAATCATGTGTAAATGGTGTGTGTATGACAAGGGATTCAGATTTGTAGGTGCCCTTTTGTTTCCAAATGATGCTCCAACATCCAGAGAAATACTTGTGTACACACTGTGAGATTTGTAGACTGTACTTCATTAAAATCAACAAATAGACAAACCGAACAAAAAATCTAATTTTAGATATTTAACTTTTTCTTAACAATTGTTCAATCAGAAAATATCGTTTTTAGTTAAAATAATAATTTTAAATGACTGACAGCAATGATACCACTATATTAAATAATTGTACACACATTTAAGTCCTTCTTCTTCATCAATTCCTTCTAACTATAGACAAGAGAGTTCCACATGATCCACCTAAATTGGGTCAAAACACCATATGAAACGGAAACTCTTATCAAAAGTAAACATAGACACTCTTACCATTTCCTCCATGATGTCACAATCTTCCTCTTTATCATTAGTTTAGTGATGTTTTCTACCAATGATTACTCATAATACCTTGTCTGACATGATAAGTGATGGTCATTATGACCTTGAACTTAAACCTTCAACCTTGAATTCAAACATTAAAGACAATGTTGATCCTAATTGATTTCTAATCTAAGTATTGCTTTTATCCTGCAAAAAGCCCGCAGGCCAACACAAAGGTTTTGACTCAAATTAGGGAGTGGGCTGCCTGAAATAGCACGTTAACATTTTTCTGCATCACAAGTCAAAATCAATTATGTAGCTGTTGTTTGTCCCTAACCATACCATAGTAATTTTGTTTTTCTCTCATTTAAGAATCAGAATAAAAATTTGATTTAAATTATGTTTGCTACATCTTTGAATATGAAATCTTAAATTTTAGCTACCATCTGTCAATGCATAAAACTGAAAGATTAGCAGTTAAATGATTTGATTTTGAATTCCTTTCAAAATGATTTGTCTTCAGTTTTGAAATTATCTGTACAAGCTTCTGCCTGATGCTTGATAGCAGCAATCTTAAACTGTGTTTAAGATAAGATTAATACTTAAAACACCAAAAGCTATAATTGAGCTTTCCTGTACAATCAAAGTAGATAACCCTAATGCTATCAAAATACATCATTCAAAAAATATCGAGTGCATGTAAACACATCTAAGCATTTCCATGAAACAGATCTGAATCTCGAAAACGGTTGAATGCTAATGGATTTGCATGTATAACTGGAATAGTGATAAACAATCACTTTCACACCAATGCTTTGTCAGTGTAGCTTCAGAACAGTACACATTGACAATATCTTTTTTTCTTCAATTCATACCAAATCCCCCCTTCCAAACCCCAAACCTTCTCCTCAATTGCAAAACAATGGATAAACCTTGTTTCTGTGTAAAAAAAAAAATCCAGACAGCATTTTGAAAAAAATTCTTCCAACTTCAATGCTAATAATATCTGTGCCCTCTGTGAGTTTGGTTTGGCATATTGATCTGACAAAAGCTCACAGCTTAAATACAAATTTAATTGCATGTGGTACTTTTCTTTCCTAATTATAATCAAGCGAAATGGTTTTGTTTTAAAGTAAATGGGTCGTTTGTACAGATTAGCTGTGAATGGTTTATTTCCTTGATTATAAATTGCCTGCATGACTATTGTAAAATATTCTGTCCCCAATGATCATCACAATCACTAAGAGAGATTTGTTGTGCTGTAGAGTAATATATTGTGTGTTTTTTTTATAAATCCACCATGTTAGATATACACTATATTCATGCATAGCAAGATAGGGGATCTCAAGATGTCAGTGACAGGTGGCCTTCCGAGGGACCGAACACTCTAAACCTGACAGCACTTACGATTAAACTAACAGTATGTAATAGATCATAGTTAAGTCATTAGAACGGAAACCACTTGTATCTTCTACTAGACTAATGAATATGAGACTGATTGTTATAAATAGCTTCACATGGACTAAACATGTCGGACTATTTACTAAGATTTAGCCTAACATGGACTAAACATGTATGACTATTTACTATGATTTAGCCTCACATGGACTAAACATGTCTGACTAGTTACTAAGCTATGTTTGAAGACTGGGACTTTTAACACATTAAAGCATGTCTATAATGAAGGAAGCACCTGGGGTGAAGAGGCTGTGGTGTCTGTTTCACTCACACGCTTGTCAGGTAATTTGGCGTGAAATGTGAATTACATAGACTCATTAGTGTAATAAGTCAGGACAAGTGTAGTACAGCCCTTCCTGGCTGACAGACAGATCATACAACACAAAACAGGTAAGAGGTGTTATATCTCAAAACAGGTCCACATACTGACAAGGGGGATAACTCAAATGGAGGATAGGTAATGGAATAACCACAAAACAGGTCCACATACTGACAAGGGGGATAACTCAAATGGAGGATAGGTAATGGAATAACCACAAAACAGGTCCACATACTGACAAGGGGGGTAACTCAAATGGAGGATAGGTAATGGAATAACCACAAAACAGGTCCACATACTGACAAGGGGGATAACTCAAATGACTTAGAGTTGTTGAAATTACCACAAAACAGAGTATAATATTGGCAAGGGGGAATAACTCTAAATTGGATATCTTAAACAGTTACAAAGGGCTGGGGTCTCTGAACTGGGCTTAATCTACCATATTTTCCTGATAATAAGTCACACCTTTTTTCCTTGCGAGTCAGGCATGTAGCTTACATGCCAATGTGGCTTACATTAGACAAAAAAAAAAGCATGACGGGAAAAAAAACAAAAAGAAAATACAAGAAGGGTACCAGTACATCAGTACGAGATGGAGAGTTTATTTACCCGTAGTTGTTCATTACATGTTCATGACTGAAATAGATTGTCTTGAACCATCAATTGCTATCATATCCAGGATTTTTGAATATTTAAATAAAAATAACATTCTTGCGGTTTTAACTAATCTTACCTTTAAATATGTATCACAATACTATCTTCTAGACTTTCACAGTTACTTCATAGCCATAACAGAAGTTTACAATAGCCTTTTGCATCCTAGGATCAACAGGTCATTAGGTTATAGGTCAAATTCTAGAATGACAGCTATGCTTGCTTACAATATGAATGCTTTTGTGTAATTTACAAGAAGAAATAATATGGGGCTATACGAATTCGTTCAGCATGCAATGGCTTTCATTAATATTTAACAGTACAGACAGCGATGGAGAGATTGTTTAGTAAACCATACGTAACATCAGGCCCTATATCTGTGCATAGACAATCTGTGAAGGCACCCAAGCCAAATGAGTTTGTTTTTTGCTATTTTAAGTTTTTTGAAATACATAAACAAGATAAAGAATTATCTGTGTAGAATTCATTTGCAAACTTTATTAAATGTTTCAATGACGATAAATTGCCTTCCATTGTCTGTTATATCAAAGAACATTTGTCAATGTAACAGTTATCACTTTGTAAGAACTGCCTTCCGTTATCTGTTACCATTATATTAAACATCAACAATAGTGGTCACCATCAAGGGTGCGGCTTATATCTCAGTGCGGCTTATATACCAGTGCAGCTTATATACCAGTGCGGCTTATATACCATTGGGAATTATGACGCGGAAAATACAGTAAACAAGTATATAGAATCTTGTAGGTATAGCTCCTTACATGAGGGAAGAGGAGTGTGGGTGGTGATTTATACAATGGCATTGTTACAGAGGAGGAGTAAAGGAAACAGGTTACATTAGTGGTTGAAACCCTGATCGAAACATCTTTTCAATTCTTCTCTGTCAGTTTTAAAGGTCATGTGTACTTTACAAACCCACGCATGAATAACATGCAGGTTGTTGACAAGCAGTGAACAGTTGTAGCATGCACTGATACAGCCCTACTGTCTTTTCTACAACAATATCCATCATCCTACCCCACTGAAACAGCTTATATTTGGTTGCGGATTATTATCCAAGATCTTTATAGACAATTCTCCCAAGTTGGCAACACAACACTATAAATTATAAAGAACTTCTAACTCAAAGCCAGGCTCCTGTTCTATAAGTAATGCTAATGATCCAATACCCTGCAAACTTCACCTGAAATCACTACACCCATCCCTGTGATTTCTTCTACAGAAACAGATATTTAACCCTTCCTATATTAAAACTGCCTGGCATGTATCCAGCAAACTATATATACTTACAAACTGATACCCCCATATCTCAAATTTATAATTAACCCTACAAGACAAATTGAACATGCTATGCCCAGGTCACTGACACTCCAAAATGGCATGTGGCAGGCATCAAGAGTTACCTGCCCTTTGGCAGCCAATAGCTTGATATAGCCCCTCCATAACCTTCACCTACCACACAGAACCTTCTAACACCTCACTGATAGGGAAGCAGGTTGAATTGTGGTGATAGAGTAAAAAGATAAGGAGAAGAAGATAGCAGGGACCATTTCATGGTTCTACCATCTTTAATGCAGCCTCAACATCAGATATGAATTGGGGAAATGTAAAGCTCTGTTAGTTAAACACTGCCAGAACCAGGTCTGTATAGTGTAGAGAGATGAGTATCTACAAATAAAGGTAACAGGCACAGGTAATATGTTTCCGAAATTGAAAGACAATGCATGGGATTGAGGTGGAGGAAAATGTATGCAGGCTTACATCAGGGATGGAGGGAGGGGGGAGGGGATTACTTGATAAAACAAAAACAGAAAACAACATCTTATATTTAACACAACAACACACCTGTGGGTGAGATAGGGAATCTCAACCACACTAAATTGCACTATGTGACTAGTACCTACGGGTAAATATACATAACACTGGTCATATAGATGTAGGTGGGGCTTCGTGCAGCTAGATAGACTGGCTACCAGCCCAGAAAGTCTTTGAAAAGAAATGCTTGACTAAATTCTTACAAAGGCTTATTGCCCTTATGAAGCACGATTTCATTCAAAATTTAATATTCCATTGAGAAGGGCCAGTCTAGGGGTGAAACAAAGCAGTCAAATCTGAATGCTTCTTTTTATTTTATTTTTTTTTCAAGAAAATGGGAAAGGTAGGTAGATGGTAGCTATGAAGGAATTACAGAATAGATGCTAAATGTTTGTATGGAAAAGATTCTGATACTCCCAACATATCAGATCCCTCCATCAAAAACATGTGTGCAAATAAAATGAAACAATATTATAACTGGCAGAAGATATTTCAAATGAATCAGATAACTCAGATGTTACCACTATAGTACAGAGTCAGTAATATCCAGGCAGCTATAAAGATACAGATATGACCTAGTACAGAAAGAGATTCGGGGTGAGGATATCTACAGACAGGGATTCAGGGTGAGGATATGTACAGACAGAGATTCAGGGTGAGGATATGTACAGACAAGCAGTCAGGGTGAGGATATGTACAGACAGAGATTCAGGGTGAGGATATGTACAGACAGGGAGTCAGGGTGAGGAAATGTACAGACAAGCAGTCAGGGTGAGGATATGTACAGACAGGGATTCAGGGTGTGGATATCTACTGACAGGGATTCAGGGTGAGGATATGTACTACCAAGGATTCAGGGTGAGGATATGTACTACCAAGGATTCAGGGTGAGGATATGTACAGACAGGGATTCAGGGTGAGGATATGTACAGACAGGGATTCAGGGTGAGGATATGTACAGACAGGGATTCAGGGTGAGGATATGTACAGACAGAGATTCAGGGTGAGGATATGTACAGACAGGGATTCAGGGTGAGGATATGTACAGACAGGGATTCAGGGTGAGGATATGTACAGACAGGGATTCAGGGTGAGGATATGTACAGACAGGGATTCAGGGTGAGGATATGTACTACCAAGGATTCAGGGTGAGGATATGTACAGACAGGGAGTCAGGGTGAGGATATGTACAGACAGGGAGTCAGGGTGAGGATATGACCTAGTAAAGGCAGAGATTTAGGGTGAGGATATGTACAGACAGGGAGTCAGGGTGAGGATATGTACAGACAGGGATTCAGGGTGAGGATATGTACAGACAGGGAGTCAGGGTGAGGATATGTACAGACAGGGATTCAGGGTGAGGATATGTACAGACAGGGAGTCAGGGTGAGGATATGTACAGACAGGGAGTCAGGGTGAGGATATGACCTAGTAAAGGCAGAGATTTAGGGTGAAGATTGAGATTAAAGATTAAAGATTACACATGCTCCAGGCTAGACTAATGTGGACATGGATACCTGGAGTATCAGGTGTGGCCTAAATGGTCTGATAACCTGATTTCCCACTGATACAGTGATTGTTGCACTTAAGAAAGGCAATACGCATATAACTTTGGACACCTACCCCATTCTATTACCTTGAAATCTTGAAACAATGACTAACAGAGATATCAGGTACCTTACTGAGAGTACTGCTGAAGATTTCAGCCAAAGGTCCTACATACCTGTCTTCATCCATGAGGGACCATGCACAGGGGATGTTGGGGAAAATAGTGGTACTCCTACTGACATCCAGCACTAACTCACCAATACAGTGACCCAGACTGACCAAGGCACAGACTGACCAGTTACAAAGTGATTACAAATTGCCTGTATGTTGCAGAACAGATCTACTAGTGATAACAACATACTGGCCTGTAATTACTGCAAGGACACACACCATGGGGGAAAAACTGCCAAATTATCTCAATGATACCAACACAGAGATTATCACAAGTCAAAGAATCTGTTTTTCATTAGTCAAAAAACAGAAATACAGCGTTTAATATTTCTTGCGTCAAAAATATGTATATACTGAAAACTACAGACCATCTCTTCATAGTTAACCTGTTTCTTACTCTTCATATATTAAAAAGTCTTAAAAAGAGACAGCTAATGACTTGTCATATAACCTGTTTCTCATTTGTAATATAGGTCTATAAGGGGGAAAGAGAGAGTTTAACACTAATCATATAACCTGTTTCTCATTTGTAATATAGGTCTACAAGGGAGAGATAGAGAGTTTAACACTAATCATATAACCTGTTTCTCATTTGTAATATAGGTCTACAAGGGAGAGATAAAGAGTTTAACACTAATCATATAACCTGTTTCTCATGTGTAAGTACACAAGACAGAAAAATTTAACCTACATGTTTCTCATTTGTCACAGAACGTTGAATGGGAAAGTGATAGAGATCTCCACTGGTACAAAACACACAAATAGTCTAGGAGATATAAAACCAGCTGAGAATGTAGACAGGAATTCTGGTAACACTAAGTAATCACAACACAGGTTTTATATACTACCTCCGGGTTTTATGTTTACGATTATCTGAAATGTATAACACTCAGCTGTTGATTATATCATTAAATTAATCACCTTGCTGAGCTCTGCGTTGTGTGTAGTGTACTAATTACGCCTTGTTATACTGTAGACATTTAGATAAAATATGACATGGTCTAGCTTGAAGCATAATCTATCAACTTCAAGTCAATAATAAAAGTCCAAACAGATATGTAATTCAATCAAACTCCCATCCTTTCAATAACTTTTTAAGTTCCTTCGATGTCACACACTTCTGTCTCTTCATTCAACTATATTCTCCTTTTAGATATGAAGTTCCTCCCCCAGTGTCCCATGTCTATGTCCCTTCATTCACCTGTATTTTCCTTTTAGATATGAAGTTCCTCCCCCAGTGTCCCATGTCTATGTCCCTTCATTCACCTGTATTTTCCTTTTAGATATGAAGTTCCTCCCCCAGTGTCCCATGCCTCTGTACCTTCATTCACCTGTATTTTCAATGTTCATTAAGCCCCATGTCATATCTGTGTCCCTTCCTTATTTACTTCACAGTTCTTGAGATCCAATACTCACCAGCTCTGTCTGTGTATAGTCTTCATTCGGAGGTCCTCCCAGCGATGATTGAGAAGCCCCATCTGTACTCGAATCTCACTTTCCTCCTCCTCAAGTATCTTGCCCTCTGAAATCAAGTCATTCCCCTCCTTGACAACCAGTCCGATGCTGTCCTGGTGTTTGGTCAGTTCCAACATAAACACCTATGATATAAAAACAAAGCTCTACGTAAAATCACATTTAACTAGACATTACAATAATAATGTGAAGGTCAGAGAGAATGCATCAATGTCAACAGCAATGTCAAGGTCACACAGAATGTATCAATGTCAAGGTCACACAGAACGTTTTAATGTCAAGGTCACACAGAACGTTTTAATGTCAATAACAATGTAAAGGTCACACAGAATGTATCAATGTCAAAAGCAATGTCAAGGTCACATAGAATGCATCAATGTCAATGACAATGTCATGGTCACACAGAATGCATCAATTTCAATGATACTGTTGAGGTCATCAAGAATTGCAACAATGTTAAGATTTGAATTTTATCTACAGAGTGAACTATTTAATGTGCAATCACTAACTGAAAGTAAAGGTCAAAATGCAACAACAAATTGATGGAGTCAAGTAAAAAACTGGTTAAGGGTCACAAAACATTCCCTTTTTTGAATGGATTAATCCCCAAACAATAAGGATCAGAAATCTTTACCTCTAACACTAAACTGAGGATATGTTGGGTGGAAATGCTATGAAATACTGAAATAAAAGAACAAACTGAGGGAAATGATCCAATCATCTTTTAAGTTGTACGTACAATGAAGTAATTTTTTTAAAAGAACTCAAGTTTGTTATGTCTAATTGGAAGGACTGTCAGGTATTGAGAGATCCCATTGCGAACAGGTTTCCAACTTGTTGCTTGTCTGACATCTATTTCAGTAAACTGACTTCAGAGTTTGGCACACATTTTCTGCTCTATCATTTTAATTGTTAGTTACACTAGGAAGTTTACATTACAGTTTTTTCTTGGTGTTTTATTGGAGCATCTGTTACGTGCTGAAAATAAAACAGGATATAAGGACTGTGCCAGACATTTTTTTCTTGTTTTTCCTTTTTAGTAAAGAAATTAATCCATCAATTTATTCCACAAATCTACGTTTGTCTACCATCATTTAGCAGATTCCTCATGAAAATTTCAAACACCTCGACAAATATTAACAAGAGCTAAAAGGTCAAGGTCAGTAACAGAAATTTTCTCTTTTCTTTCCCCTTTCTTCCTTTAATCATAAAAATGATAAAAACATCTAATTTGTTCTTCAATACTGTGAAGATAGAGTACAGATTTAAAATGACTGCTTGTGGTATGTAATGATAAATACAGGGCTAGCTTACAAGACTCCAAAATCTCCTATCACATTAAGTATGGAAGTTTTGTCCTGTCTTTATCCAACTTTGGCTCTGATAATATGCTTTTAATCACCGTGTATAAAGAGTTGCATAACATAACTCAGGTAGGAGATTATAAACACTGATCCGTTTAACACATACTATGTATGATCCATGTGAAATCTCTGCCGTTCCCTAAACCCATCCAGATAGAGAAAGTAAGTTTTAAATCTACTAAACCATTCCCAATCCAAAAACAGTTAATCTATCTATATCAACTTATAATTAAATACAGCAACTTACGACATACCATGTTTTAATTTGATACACCCTTAACACAACTGGACAACAACATGTATGTATCTAATTCTATTTCTCTTCTGATTCATTTGGTGTGATTTCATCACAGTGACAAATTATAACAGGCATAGAGTGAAAATTGAAGCTCACATTTTTTCTGCTGACAATAATGAATCCAATTCTAACATATCAGTAACATTGAAAGACTTCCTATGAAGGTAGATAGTCTTTATAATATTAGTACCTATCCTGCTTTCACAATCTCTGACAACACTATACCTGATGTGGAAATATCGCTACTTTCAATATCACAGCCTTCCTAACAAGTCATTAAATTAACATAACATTGGAAAATCTAATAACATGAGTATCAATCACTAAGCCCAGGATCTGCAGGGTCTAACATCTATTCTCTGATTTAACAGTAGGCTCATTACAAAACAGTGAAAAAATCTATGATGATAAATTCTCCTGAACAGAAATATCTACTGGTAGGTTTAAAAGGAAAATTTTAAAAATGAATTATACATCAGCGGTCAGTGTTTAGTTCCCCTTTCATTTAATTTCAATAATGAATACACTCCAACATATTTTTCCATCATATAGTTAAGTCGTTTCTAAGGATAGAATTTGATGGACTTGTTTGTTTTTTCTATGTTATGACACCATATGTCGTGTGATGAGGGTGCCCACTTGGAGTCAAGGATTTAATAATATTAACTCGTCCCTTCAAACCACAGCCAAAACACAAACAACTAGGTGTGTTACCAATAATAATAATAATTGTATTGGATCATTATACCATGTCCTTCAACCCTCTAATCTTTCTTAAAGGAACAACAGAACAGAAATTTACCAAAGTTTTGTTAGCATACTCAGTTCACAAGATGTCAGAATTTTTATTTTTTATTTTATTTTGAAAGACTTCATTGCTTCAAGAAACATAGCACATCATTTTTGGTGTTTTGTTTCATATTCTAATCTTTTTCTTCTTGTCATTCTTGTTCATGTTGCATTCTTTTCTCTTCATGAAGCTAAGCAATCTTAGATCAACTGAAAAGCAGAGGTGATGTTAGGAAGGAGACAGGTGTCTGTGTCAGTTACAAGCTTGATAATCACTAGGCACAGCACATAACAGGCAAGGTTTGTGATAACCAGGATGCCTGGCATGTAATAATGGCCATATTTATGTTCTTTTTGATGTTGTGTTAGAATGATATTTAGCAAGACTAGGTCAGGAAGTAGATAAGAACTCCATTACTAGGACAAGAATATAGAACAAAACCGTATACCAATAAACAGATATATACTGATGATCAGAATAGGAGTAATGTATATGGTATTTTGTATCCTAAATCTTAACAAACATAGATGATGTCAAGAAATCAGTTTGATTAAGTAGGTAAATAAATCTTTCATAATTTGAGTGGAATATTTCATAGACCTTATAAAGAAATACTGTCCATTCAGCATATTATCTAAAACAAATTTAATAATTTTGGTTTGAATTACAAGCTTATAAGTTGTCCTGTTGTGTCTTCTTTGTTGAAAAATCAATATTCTGGAAAATGGTTTTTAATTGAAACCGTTAGCAATATCATCAATATTCTGCTAAAAGTAACATCACATTGTAAGAAATGAATTTTGTCACATGCTGAGTCTTCTTCAGCTTATAACTTTGTTTTGTCAGTGTTTTTTTTTACATGGCTGTTAAAACATCCCCATTAAACAATTTTAACAGAAGATTAACCGTTTGAGCCTGTTTTTATTTCCGCTTCTATCACTTTGGTTTAATAGCAGTATACAGCTATACACACATGGCTCGGAAAGGCTTTCTATTCCAGTCAGTCTACCAGAATTCACAGACCATTATTGGCCCTTACAGACCCCTAATGGAAAGTACACACCGTTACAGCCATCAAAAGTCTTCTGATGGTTCACCCTAAAACACCATCCCATCTGTATAGGGATGATGGTACTAGTATAGGTACATTAATCTAACTTATTATAGTACCTAAAGACATGCAACGTTAGCATGACAATGAGCGACATCCTTGTCTTATCAAATCAACATGAAAGGGATATTAATATATCTGATGTCCCAGCTTGCAAATTCTGAATATTCTTCACCAAATATTTATGGTAAATTTTGTCAAACATGAAGACAATCTCAGTTGTTATTTTGTCAGTGTGATTCTTCTTTTAAACCTTTTTTTATTCTGCAGCAAATGCTAAAACGCTTCTTTTGATATCATCATGAACATCATTGGTATGATTTAGAGTCAGTATAATCAAATTTGTATTCTAGATCAATACATAAAGATCAGTTAAAATGATGTTTCTATATAGAATATTTGTAAATTGAACATTCTGATCTTCCAGTATTGCTATCTAAAGGAGCCATCTGCAAAAGTGGCATAGAATTTTTAGGTCACGAAAAAATTTTCCTCAATAAAAATCATGCTAGTGCACAGATGCTGAAAGTATATATATACTACACATTCCATTTATTTCATTAAAAACCAACAAAATTCCAGAACAAATACAACTATTTTCCAGAACATCATTTTCAATCACTGACTTCAATATAAGAATGTTTCTAGACTCTGGCACTAACCACAGAGATTTTCTCCACATTCTGAAGTACATAAAATACAATCCTAAAAACCACAGCCGACACCATGAAATACATGGTTTTTTAAATACAATTTCACTGTGTACAAATTGTGATAAACACTTTGTAAAAGCATAGTTCCTTCTCCTCAGCCTGTAGAAAAATACAATTTTACCTAATCAAAGTATTCTGTAATCTGCCAACAGAGTTAGATTAGAGGGTTTTTGTCCCTAATTAGTGTTATGCTCCCTGTTAGACCAGATATTATCTAATTTGGAATCACCGAAGGGCTACATAAAAGAAAGCAACCATTAAAATTCTGTGATCAGTGATTTCTGTATCGTCTACTGCATTATATTTCTACCACAGACAAAACCAGGAATTTTCTCTTTGATGCCGTTTCCATAGTGACCAGGAATAAACCAGTTTCCATGGTGTTTCAATACAAATCAGGGGAGTCTGTTACAAATGCATGAATCAAATATGTTTTTCACTTTCAGAGATCCTAAGCAGATGGCAAACATATACTTCATATAAATAGATGCTTATGTGACACTTCAGGTGGGTATGCTCATTTTTCAACCACAAGAAAATAGTCTTAAAACGTCAAAGATTTTAAGTTGTTATGTATAACAGATTTAGTCCTATTGAACAACTGTCTTTATTCAGGGCCCATCATCTCCTTTCCCTGGAAAGACTTGCTAAAGTAACTGTAACCTCTGACCATTGAGGAAGAGAAAAGGAATGTTCATTGAGTTCACATGAAATATTTCGACCAATTCCAATCATGTCAAAAACTCTACAATTTTATCACCATTTTCATGAAAAGATTTAACAAAATTACACCAGCTTCTCAAAGCCAATAAAAATATTGAAATCCAGGATCTTTTTCAGCTTTAATGGTTGTGAGTAAATGCTGTTGATATCACTGCAAAGTGTTGTTCTTTCTACAGGCTCAACAGATCCTGTTCTAAGCTAAATCTTTCACTATATATGACTCATAAAATCCACTAGCTGGTGTATTTAGGAAACGATTGATGACAACAGTGTAGTCTATTGTGATTTCTCTATAGAAATGAGTGTTATTTTCAGAATCAAACAAAAACTAAATATGCACAGGTACAAATAAATATACCATGTTTTTTATTTATTGATTTTCTTTCTTAAGTACTTGTACCCATGCAGGAGGATATATTGATCTGATCGGAAACTTTAATTGATACGACAATTGTATGTTCGTAAAACAATTGTCGTTTGTATAAAGATATATGTGAAAGCAAACAGCACTCCAATATATGGATTAGCATTAACAGATTTACCGACATTGCACTTGTCTGATGGTGAGCTATAAACACATTAGCTTTGAATGGTTTACCTGTCTCCAGGTGTGTTAAACAGGTTAACGATGAAATGGATCACAGTTACCTGTCTGGAGGCGAGCAATGAACACAGTTATGGCAGATGAGGTGTATAACAGTAAACGTATTATAGTATTAAACGAAAGTTATAAAAACTGAAACATTAATGACAACTATAGCAGGTGTTTCTTACAGGTGGGGCAATGTTGCCTGTACAATGAGCACAAAATGTTTTTTTAATATTTCTACACCTTCAAACCTATAAACAGAAAATGAAATAGCATACCATCAGTTTATAATATTATATCTTTGATGATTTTAAAACAAAAAAGAGGCAAAAAGGCTAAAATGTAAAATTTCCAGTCCTTTCTCTGGAGAAAATTGAGTTAACATTATGAATGAATTTGGCAAAAGGTGGAAAATTATCATCAATTAAGTACCATAGAGATTTTTAATCTAACTATTTAAACTTCTTGCATTGATATTTTGACATTTTCACAGAAAGAATGTAAAACAATCATAAGGATCATAAAACTTTTTTCAAAAATATTTATGTTTATATTTGTTTATGATTAGGAGGCTAGGATGAGTCTCTAGCCATTTACAACATGAGGCATAAATAGTGGTATCTACAGTTTTATCGTGTTAGCAGAAGTGGAAACAGAAACATTTATCTTTTTTTCTGTAGAATGTGTATCTGTGTAATGTTAACATTTTAAGCCACACAGACAATATACCTAGAGGACCTTACATAAGTTTCCATTCATACAACATTTATGAAATGAGTCTGAAAATTTTTGGTTTTACCAGCCTCTGGAGAATGTAAGATTCTGTTTATCACATACCTTAAATACCTTCCTAAATATTTTTAAAAAGCATTTAATCTAAGTTACAAAATCTAACTCATTTTATTTGGTGACATCACAATATATAAGTTATAATGTAACAATGGAAACCTTCAGCCAATCAAAGCTCTGATAGGTCATATTACATGAGTAATTACCTTGACCTTGGAAAACTGTGATTTTTGTTTAATATATAGGATTCAATAGGACGAGACATGGGTTTGACAATGGTGTGGCCTTACAACGTGGTTGGATCTTCGAAAAGCTTAATTAATCGTAATTACTATCATTTACAAAAGAATTTGCAATCAATCTTATCAATGTCAGCAATAGCTGATTTTGATGACTGTAATCAATTAAAGCACACAACGAAATTAAATCATCACATACATCCACCCCCTCTGTAAGGTACCCTGAAATAAATTAGTTGAAAACTACTTAAATATCAGTGCTAATGATTGAATATTCAACACCCATAATCTAACTAGGTGCTCCCTTTAGTAGTAACAGAGCAATGTATTTCTATCTTTTATACAAAATTACAAACACACTAACCTGTCTAAATAGACCTCCATTAATAAATTATATCACTGCCAGATAAAAGTGCAGTATATAGAATTACAACATAGAATATGACAGATTTTATTCATAAGAATTAACTACGCCTGTACGCGTCTTCACAATGATTCACAAACTACCTATACAAAAAAACAGCTGAACTTTCAAGAAAATAACACTTGTTTTTTTACAAATTCTGACATGACCGAGATTTGACAGGTGATTATTTACAGGACTGATTTTTGATAAAAAACAAAACATAACAAAGATCTGGTTTGTGACAACTAAGGACCTGCTATATTTGGAATGTTGGAGTCTATAAACATCTATTGTCATCAGTTCCTGAAGCACAAAATGTGACCCTTTTTATGACATACACTTTTAAACAATGTTAGCAGTTATTTTCTTCTTATTTCTAAATGGTTGCATGCACTTTAAGCTTCAATAAGTCAACTATGGATTGATGGTTCAGTGTAATCATATTGAACCTGCCATAAAATTTCATTCAGAATACAATATCCCTCACCCTGCTCTTTCTATTCGTCTTCCTTGCCACCATGCGTCCTTAAAGACACACCCCCTAATCCAAAAAGTAGTATTTTATGCTCTAGAAATAACTCAATCTTCTGTCTGAACTGTTAACTACCTACAGTCACAGTAAATGTACATTCACTTCCATCAACTACACAAGTGTACTAAATGACCTCACGACCTTGACAGCAAGTTTTGTCTTGCCGATACAAATCTTCTACAACACAGTTATCAGATTTAAACTAACACTCCTTAATTTATAAAGTTAAATTTGATCATTCAAACCTTGACAAACCCAGGTGAGCTTTATATTGGATGTACGGGGACTTTGTTATAACCTGTCCTGATGTGCAGTCTGTGTGTAGGTTAGTATATCTATTATCAGGTCAATAAATCGGTATAATGACCTGATGATTGGCCCCCTAACACAGATAATGGTGAAGTATCTAATCCGGTACACAACCCTTGATAAATCTGCAGGTGAGACTCTATGTCCTGTACTCATAGAATTTTGACGGGACTCATAACATTTCTGGAAATATTTAATTTTCACATTGTGTAACATTGTTGTTTTAAAAAATAAAGTTGAAAGTGATTTGTAGATTTATCACTGCACAACTTTACTTACACCAAACATTCAAAACTTCTTCTCAAATTAAAGAGGCTATATGATGATAGTAGTTTGGTACAATATTAAAGTTACACAAATAAAATTATAAGGAAATATATTGAATAATTAAAACATTAACTTGTCAGAAAGGAAAATAACCTTTGCTTTAAACATTCAAATTGGGTGATTACATTCTTAAGCATTCTTCCCTATAACTGGAGAATAAAGTAAATGAAGAATATGGAGCTATTGATCAATACCTATATTCTTTATAAAAAATATTGACTGAAGTTGATATGGTTATGAAAAGTGAACATAACTGATCAATTAAGGATTCTTAAACATGGTGGTAGTTTTTGAAGTTTAATGACTCTATATTTATAAAGTAAAGGTTTATGTCTAGTTAGTAAAATGATTAGATTCCACGCGCTGACAAGAGTGGCTTATCAAAAATATCATTAGTTATTAAAATTGTCAAGGTCATTGGTTTTATAACCTTAAATTATTTTAAGAGACTCAATATTTGCAAATTTAAATCACCTTTTACTTCTGACCTCTGTTCTACTATATGACCTATAACCTCTTATTTTTGACCTATACAAATATAAACAAGTTAGTACTTACCTCGTGTTGGTTGAACTGTTCTTTGACCTTGCCTACGTCCGATGCTATTGGTTCCTGTTTCTCCATGGTTTCCTCAGCTTCCAGGAGCCAAGTTAGGACATTTTCCATGTCGTCCTGATAGGACATGAGGTCAACAGAGGTCGCTGCTGAACTCATGGTGCTATGATGACTGGACGAACTACTCAGGGACATAGCCGTCTACAACAACCAAACACATGTGGCCTGTCATCCTTATTGTCACAAGTTTCACTTTCATCACAACTATACACATACGTACACTGAAACTGCTAACAGTAGACAGAACACAGAGATATTTCATTCAAAGAATGTACTACTTAATTGATCGTAGACACAAAGTTGGCTTTGTAAATGTGAGAGACATGGAGGTTGATGTGTTGTATTTCTCGAACCAATTAACTTGGCAATATACTCAGAGCTTTAAATCACAGTGTCCGCTGCCAATACCCTAGCGAGACAAGCTTACAAGTGAAATACACAAGGTTATGTAATAATTTACAACATAGGAACAAAAAACAATTCAGCAGTATTTCAGAGGATGCTCCAGCGACGAACCCGGCAAGATCAAAGGGATTCCAAGTTAATAGCTCCAAATCACTTGCTCGAGAAAGATTAAGAATCTTTAGGATCAGGATTTTCATCCGCACGTTATCACCTATTCATACCTGTAAAGTACAGGTATTCACAAGTGGTATACATTTCCGATTCAAATGAATGCACCTTTTTCGATGCAAAACCAGCACATGATCTTTGATTTTTTTCCACTCTGTGTACATCATGCATTCATGATAGAGTATAAATCCGAACTCGTTGATAAACACACAGCACATATACACTAGTCACAAGGAAATTCCAGTTGGGCTTTTCACAGCCCAGTATAAATACATGTAGAACTGCAGGTAATCCAGAGTGCGTGTAGACACATATAAACACTGTGTATGTTAGAGATTCCTTCTGTAACAATTGGCTTCTCTGCATCTCAAACTAAACACCAACCAATGGCTACTACTACAGGTGGGGCAGGAACTGGCCCCTGGGTGATGGGGAAGGGGATAGCTTACTGAGACACAGGTCTGTCCTCTCTGAGATACAGGTCTGTCCCTGTAAGGATCTATGATATATATACCAAATTCAATGGTTTGATGGCCCTAGAGAAAACAGTGCCCACAACAAAGTCTGCTACTGTAAATACTGGGGTCAAGCTGTGGTGTGGATTTCTCCAAATTATCACACTATCTATTTCTAGTATCCTAAGACCCCCTGTCATGTTTTCACTCCTGGAACTGACAAAACTTCATACACAGGGATAACGCTACATCTGATCTTTATATACTACAATTAGCTCTCTTCCCTGGTTTATAACCTCGGGCACTTCTTCCATCGAATTGTTGGTCCTGTATAACCTCCATATACAATTCTGAAGTCCAGTTTAAACTTCTGTCATGCATGTAAACAGAAATAGCATGTGCAACACCAGTTTGTATGTTGCTACATGTGTAGTAAGTAATGTCTCCCAGTAATATCAGCCAATCACCAGGCAGGTTCTGTCAGACCTATTACATATATACTTTGCACCCTATCTATAGCTACAGAGGATGATAACACAACATTAACACCTCTGGGACAGCTGGACATGCAATGTGGGGCCTTCTCAGGTCAGCTGGCCTCCTGAGGATATACAGAACTGGTCTCAGTACCATTACAGCCTTTATAGTACCATTTACTCAGCCACTGTCCGAAAGCATGGATCAATGGATCACAGTAGAATTTAGGATAACTGTTCCATAGACAGCTATTCGCTTCTCCCTAGTATTATTGTAGATCACAGTCCATAGAAATATCCTGGATCACTGGTCAGTATTGTGGAACAGTCCTTACCAGGGAGATTGTGGTTCACCGGGGTACAGGTTAGGGGTACGTAGTACTAAAAGCCACACTGAGCAAAACTCGGGAAAAGTAACATTAGTAGTAACAGATATTTACTGTCATGAATCTGACAGGATCACACATCTAGTAAATACTGTACTGACAGTCAGAATGTAAACAATTTAAACCCAATCTGGAGTGAAAATGGCCTGTAAATACCTACCATGTGTTAGGAAATAGTGACTGACGTTTACACTTATCAATCCGACTTTTTATAAGCTAGTACTACACAACACTTCCAGGGTCCCGTCTATACATAGTATCTACCCAATGCACAACACGTGGGGGGTTAAACCGGAGTCCCAGGAATCCAGAGCTCAAGATCTGAGGAAAACTTTCCACAGTGCATTTAAACCGGGTGACAACAACAATGAGACAGCTAGAGAAGTGAGCTTAACTGATAACATACATACCCAAGTGTGACATGACCGTTGTGTAGAGCTGTGGAAGTATTACAACCCAACGGACAATAACACACACACTGCAGTCTGTTTCGATAACTCCAATACTTCAGACTGCACCGCAGCACACTACAATGACCTGTCCTCCTATTCACCAGTGACAGACCAATTCCTCAATGAATGTGCCATACCCTGATAAGGTATGTTATTATACACAAGGTTGGGTCAATGTTTATGTACCTTGCTGTGTGTATAAGCACCAGGTGTTTAGATATGCAGATTAGTAAAAAATCACACACACAAAATCAAAACGGGTGGGTAGAGAGTACAGTAACTATGTGCTTGTTCCTATTATCAGCTGGTTTAGACTGTCTCACTAGGAATCAATATGCAGTGTCAAAAATCTCTGATAGGAACAGCATGATACTGTCTACAACATTTAATCTCGTAAGGTCAAAAGTTTTAGCTTTTAAAAATTTTCTTCATTTTGAATTTATGATGAAACTACTTTAGCATTTTAATCCTGAATTTAAAAAAAAAAAACAAACAAACAAACAAACAAACAAGATAAAATCCTGAAAAAATTTCCAGTTTTAACAATACTACAAAGGATTGTCACTTCCGATACAGCACCCAGTCCTAACCATTAATTTTTTCTGTATTTTAACCTTAAAATTTTCTTTTGATTCAATCAAATCCTGTATTTTTATACAAGTGCATGTTACTAAGCTTTTTCAAGAGTTTCAATAATTGGAAATCATACACAGTAAAGTTGAACTTCATAACAAGTATAAGGAATAGTATTACAATGGTTACACTTCCTCCTTTATAATCCAGAGCTTCTGAAATCAAGTGCTGATCAAGAAGATATTTTCTGGAATAAGTTTTCAATACATATGTTTTTGATATCTAACTTTCTGGCTAGAATATGAAGAAGCAGTTTGTCAGAAAGAGACAAGACAAATTGGAATTTTTTTTTTTATTTAAGAAATAAAGCAATACCCACGACTCTCTACATTAAAATCACTGTTGAATATATTAGCTAGGATTGGGTCTGGTTTTGTATTGAGAAATAAGGAGAAATCTTTATCATCATAAGGTATTATAAAGTAATCACCCACAATATCATCGCTGTACTTTAAATTCACAAATGCTTCTCCATTTATTATTATTGCATCCTACATGTATGTACTTTACCAGCAAATAATGACAAATGATTCCAACAGAGACAAAGTCACTTCAACACAAATGATGTGAAGAAAAATGTTTCCCCATCATGCACAGAATACACTGAATTAACCAGTAATTATTGCAATAATGATTATACTCTTCTGAAAAATTGACAATCACCACCAAACTTAATGTAAATATTCTGTCAAGTACTAATCATTGTAATGCACGATTTTCAGTTTTTATTATTTTTTTTTTTCAGACAATAGTTAGTCTGCCGGCCTACACACACACAAGAATTCTGTAATTTCTTTGTAAACACACTTGTAGTGTCTTTGTTGGAATGGCTACATTCAAATACATGTACAGACAATGTTAAACTCATTAGGGAATTACATTACGGTAAATATCAACGATAGCATAAGCTTTGATATCAATAATTGCTAACTTAGTTGTAAACTGTCCGATTTTGTAGGATTAAGTTTAATAATATTTTTCTGTTATCCGTGATATTATAATATCTAGATTATCTTGAATCTTTGACAAATTTTCAACAAATATTGTTCCTAGTTGATGGTTTGAACTTATCATCTATTCGTCATATATGTATTTATATGTCAATAAAATTGTTTGAAACTGAAATTGAACTTGTCAAAATCTGTAGTCACTAGCATGAATTTTTCTTTAGTCTACCTATACCAAACTCTTAAAGTACTTCAGAATCATGTTTTCCAATTTTGGTCCTCTATTTGAACCGATTTGATCTATCAAAACTGTCGGACATCTTCTCCAAGTCTAGGCATCTAAAGTACTTCCAATACCAATCTGTTGATTCGTTTCCTTGTTTTTCACGGAGATTTTCATCTGTTTATTCCATCTAAATTTTTTCCTTCTTCTACAATCAGATTCAACAAATGCCAGACTTTTTTTCGGTTTTGCATTATTTTTCGTTTTGTTGCGGCAGCAAAAAACCAGTGGTGATGAAGTTACAGGGTTTATGCATTTATCATTGTTATCTTTTTTTACTTTGGTAAATTAAAAAACTTGTTTAAAAACAGTAAAATTACAGCCATTTTCAGAAGTTACATAATACAAGAATTTTTGTCTTTTTAGTCCTGCTAGATAGATATCACCACACAACAGTTACGTCAAAGGCTTAAATAGTAAACATGTCATTTATCTGCCTCAAAGTTATCAACGTTCACTAATATTCTATAATTTCAACGTTAACCATGCAAGGTCACGTGTCCTCAAAGCAATATCATTTTCAAAGGTTATTTAAACTTCTAAGAGACTCCAAGTGACCTTCAGGTCAGAGGTCAAATTCAATAGATATTCAAATAGATACATAACACGGACAGAGATTTAAAGAACTTTAGTTTCAGGTTCTGCACCTGAATGCAAATCAAAGTATGTCTGAATGCAGACATTGTTGATGTTTTGTCACACCTGTATTTGTAAGGTAATTCTACCAGGTAAAGATCCACCCCCTTCATGTGTTTGATGTGCAGATTGCATAACGTAAAATGTCTTGTGACGTGACCTTGACAGCCAATGTTTGTAAGGCTATATGATTTCTGTAAGAAAACTAGAGCAGCGTGACATATCAATGTAACCAACACATGTCACTTCCATAGCAATGTCAGGTAAACAAAACTACACCAACAACGCCTCAGATAGGAAAATACTGTATAACTTGGCAGCATCTTCTGAGAATACCTATACTCAAACAACATCTAGATAGATAGAACACTCCCACATACACATACAGAACACCTCCACATACAGAACACCTCCACATACAGAACATCTCCACATATAGAACACATACCGAACAACTCCACACACAGAACACCTCCACACACAGAACACCTCCACACACAGAACACCTCCACACACAGAACACTTCCACACACAGAACACCTCCACACACAGAACACCTCCACACACAGAACACCTCCACACACAGAACAACTCCACACACAGGACACCTCCACATACAGAACACCTCCACACACAGAACACTTCCACATACAGAACACCTCCACATACAGAACACCTCCACACACAGAACACCTCCACACACAGAACACCTCCACACACAGAACACTTCCTTACTCATAACACCTTCATAAACAGAATATCTCTGCACAGAGACCACCTCCCTTTACAGAACACCTCCCTTTACAGAACACCTCCACACACAGAACACCTCCACACACAGAACACCTCCACACACAGAACACCTCCATATACAGAACACCTCCACAGGATGATATTATCAGATGCAGAACAACTCCTTCTACAGACCACCTCCATATACAGAACACCTCTACATAGAGAAAACTTCCATATACAAAAAAACAAAACTGAAGAACATCTCCCCAAACATAACATATAACCAGGTATAGATATGTTTGTTACACCTGTGCAAGAAAAATGAAATTAACAACATGAAGCATCCATGTTTATCAGGTAATGTCTTGTAGTTCCTGAGACTTAGACTTTGTAACACAGCCTCAAGGACAGAGCTCTGGACCTCAACCTTACATGATGTTTGAAATGTTTGGAGTACCTACCTCAGACTTGGTAATTTTCTCTGTGAAGGTGAAAGTGTCCGTCGACTTTGAGGACTGGATGGAGTTTGCAGTAGAAGGTGTGACGGGGATGTCCTCAGTAGGAGTAATGTTGCTATGTGGTAGTACTTGGAAAAAACACATCAGGTACATCATCACTGATTTCTTGTCCGGATTCTCCACATCAACGTCTGTAACAAAGATAATGAAGGCATTACTTAAAGGCAGAGTATTGTAATAAATCTCAAGCTACTACATAGGTCAACAGGACTTAAAATCAATTTCTTAATTTTTAAGACTTTAAGGAATTAACTTTATACAAAAGAGATTTCCACCTGGGATGAAGACCTGATATCAGTGAACAAAACTCTACCATCCAAATCATAAGTTGGTAAAAGGGGAGGAAACACATGCAATGTGTAAAGGACAAAATAAATCAAAGGTCTATTGAATGATCAAATGAGATACAGCGTTCAAAGGCCTATTGAATGATCAAATGTTGTACAGTGTATAAAAATCTAGTTCCCACTTTAACACTTTTGGGGAGTGAAAAACTAAATATCAAATTTCATAAAATATGAATATTACCAACAGCTTGATTAGTTGCCTACCTTCAGGGTCGAGCAGACGGTCAATACCAAGTGTGTCATGGGCAATACTAAAGGCATGTTCTAAATTCTGTTCATTGCTATTGGTTAAAAGGTCGTTGTATTCAAACAACTCAGGTCTGGAAAAAGAACGAGAAATCTTCTTTAATTTGCTATGAAATTAACTAACAGATTCTAAAATCATTTTTATTCTTCATATCTACTTTGCCCTATTCCCTGAATTAAAACTGATTTACTGCAAACATAGTAAATTTGGCACAAGGAATTCTTAATATTTTTAGACATATTAGCACAATGATGAATTATCACATCAACTATGACTGTTATACTAGTTTGACAGCATACTATAATTAACATTCAGAAATAGTAACTGATGCACAATTGTAAGTACAATATTTCTATATGAAAACTAATAAACTCTAAATGAATGAAACCTTATAATTAAAGGTCAATGGTTTCCATGATGACGTTGTCATGGTCACCATAATGGTGTTGTCATGGTTACCATGATGACACTACCATGGTTACATACCTGAAGTGATGGAGTAGAGCATTAAAGGCTAGTCCAGACCTCCAGCTTGTTGTGAAGTTCCTGATTTCTACATTTCTGTACCTAGTAACAAAATATAGAGAAAGAGGTCAAAGGCTGTAATCATGTCAGATGGGTCAACGGCTGTAATCATGTCAGATGGGTCAAAGGCTGTAATCATGTCAGAGGGGTCAAAGGCTGTAATCATGTCAGAGGGGTCAAAGGCTGTAATCATGTCAGAGGGGTCAAAGGCTGTAATCATGTCAGAGGGGTCAAAGGCTGTAATCATGTCAGAGGAGTCAAAGGCTGTAATCATGTCAGAGGGGTCAAAGGCTGTAATCATGTCACAGGGGTCAAAAGCTGTAATCATGTCAGAGGGGTCAAAGGCTGTAATCATGTCAGAGGGGTCAAAGGCTGTAATCATGTCAGATGGGTCAAAGGCTGTAATCATGTCAGAGGGGTCAAAGGCTGTAATCATGTCAGAGGGGTCAAAGGCTGTAATCATGTCAGAGGGGTCAAAAGCTGTAATCATGTCAGAGGGGTCAAAGGCTGTAATCAAGTCAGAGGGGTCAAAGTCTGTAATCATGTCAGAGGGGTCAAAGGCTGTAATCATGTCAGACAACAATGTAAAATCTCTTTATTCTGCATTACAATAAAATACCCACAAGTAAACTCTGAATTAATTCTACTAATTAACCTTGTATCCTGGTTCTGAGTACTCTCTGATGCCTTGATTTTATCAGTATTTGAATATTTCAGTTTAAACACAGGATACACAGAATACTCCCTCTGTTAATTTGATACTATTTAGGAGATAATGATACAAACATAATACAACCAAGTCCTGTTTCATGTAAAATTAGAGGATTTTTTTACAAAAACCTGATTTTTTACTAATTTTATAGATTTTTACTAAAGACAGACTCAGTGAAATTTAGAATCGTTTCTGTTGTACTGGTGAATATTTCTACCATTGTAAAATTGCTAGATATCAATTACTGCATTTTGTTATGGCCCCTTTAAAACAAAATGAATTCCAAATAACCAATTGTGTTGATGTAAAACAGACCATGGCTGTATTTGCTATCATGATAAACCACATCCACATTACAGGGTGGAACCAGATGTAGTCCCAGATGTCGGAGTGGCAGTTATGTCACTCTGTCACAGCGCAATGCTCCATTTCCCACTTTTTGTGAGGCAGACAGAAACGGTAATGTGTGATGTTGGGAGTTTGACCTAAACATGTAATGCATACACAGTTTGACAGCCTCCCCTCTGAGGTTTATTAAACATCACAGGTTACAGATGCTCCTCCTAGTGGGGAAGTGAGGAATTAGACAGAAGGTATAATAAAGGTTGTTTTCTATAATTTGGTCACCCTGATGTAATTTTATTTTATAACCATAATATAGCCAGCTAAGTTCCATATAGTCAAATCAGGTTCCATAGGTTGTGTTCAATATATCCAAGTTAATATATCTAAGTTAGGTTCCAAAGGTTGTGTTCAATATATCTAAGTTAGGTTCCAAAGGTTGTGTTCAATATATCCACATTTTGATAAAACATTTCATGCTCAATATATCCAAATCATATCTCCCAATCTAACACCTATTTCAAGTATGTTTAAATGAAGTTCCAAAAGCTATGATGGATATAATCTGTTCAATGTATCCAAAGTTTTAATCCAAATGTTCAACTTATCACAATGAATTTCATGGATTTGGGTTTCCTTACTTCCTAATTAAGTTCAGCAGTTCATTAACAATTAACTATATTAACAATGCACTTGTTCATGTTCTAGTATGACGTTTTAACACTTTCTCAACCAAACATTCCAACCCTATTTACCCCAGTGTGGCCTGCCTACAACAGGCCAGTAGGGTTCTCTCTAGGTTAGTCTGTTCAAGGTTGTCTATCAGGTTACCTCTCCCTAACTGACATTCGACCTCTATTTACCCCAGTTTGGCCTGCCTACAACAGGCCAGTAGGGTTCTCTCAAGGTTAGTCTGTTCAAGGTTGTCTATCAGGTTACCTCTCCCTAACTGACATTTGACCTCTATTTACCCCAGTGTGGCCTGCCTACAACAGGCCAGTAGGGTTCTCTCTTGGTTAGTCTGTTCAAGGTTGTCTATCTTTCACCTCTCCCTACCTAACATTCAACCTCTACTTACCCCAGTGTGGCCTGCCTACAACAGGCCAGTAGGGTTCTCTCTAGGTTAGTCTGTTCAAGGTTGTCTATCAGGTCACCTCTCCCTACCTGACATTTTACCTCTATTTACCTCAGTTTGGCCTGCCTACAACAGGCCAGTAGGGTTCTCTCAAGGTTAGTCTGTTCAAGGTTGTCTATCTTTCACCTCTCCCTACCTGACATTCAACCTCTACTTACCCCAGTGTGGACTGCCTACACCAGGCCAGTAGGGTTCTCTCTAGGTTAGTTTGTTTGAGGTCGTCCATCAGATCCTTCATCACATCTTTTACCTACAGGTAAATATATGACTTAACATTAGTAAATACAAACAAACAATAAACAAAAACAATGGATAGAGTAGATGACTGACCGTGATTATTTTATGTTTATTAACGTCTCACCAAAACTTGGTTACAAGTGAGGCAACAGGGTCTTTGTTCAGTTACTATACCAGTTAAGTCAGGTACCTTTTTTGCCAGAAATCTTACTATACCAGTTAAGTCAGGTACCTTTTTTGCCAGAAATCTTACTATACCAGTTAAGTCAGGTACCTTTTTTGCCAGAAATCTATCATTTGTACTTTGTTACTTTTGCACGAGTTTGAATCATATTTCCTTGAAAGTCAACAATATGACCAGGAAGGTCATGTGACTTACCTGCCAGTGTAGGATGATGCTCCAGACCAGTCTGAGGGTCAGTTTAGGGTTATTGTCCACTGTCAGTCATGTGACTTACCTGCCAGTGTAGGATGATGCTCCAGACCAGTCCGAGGGTCAGTTTAGGGTTATTGTCCACTGTCAGTCATGTGACTTACCTGCCAGTGTAGGATGATGCTCCAGACCAGTCCGACGGTCAGTTTATGGTAAGTGTCCACTGTCAGTCATGTGACTTACCTGCCAGTGTAGGATGATGCTCCAGACCAGTCCGAGGGTCAGTTTATGGTAAATGTCCACCATCAGTCATGTGACTTACCTGCCAGTGTAGGATGATGCTCCAGACCAGTCCGAGGGTCAGTTTAGGGTTCCCATCTACTATGTCATTACTGCTGATATTTACTAACTTTATCTGTAAGCACAAACAGTTAAATGTATTCAATTAAAATGATTAAATATAATAAGATATAACTTTAATGTCAGAAACAAACAGGAAGTGACCGGTTCTCCTATAAATATAACCTCCTTCCCCAGTCTCCAACTGTACACAAGCTCTTATTTACAAAAATTTTTTTTTCTTTTTTTATAAATTTACGTTTTGGTTTGTAATTTTGCTGAACAGCTGCAAATAGATACAGGTGGGCTTATTACCGGGCATAGGCATGTTGCTAGACAAATTTGATTATAAAATCAATACAGAAACACATGAGACAAAAGGATGAAAATTCAAGCATCCTCTTTTATTTTTCTCAATTACATCCAACTTCACTGAAAAGTTGGCAAAAGGATTATGGAAACATTGCTTAATCACAAAATAGACATCTACAACAAGTTACAAACGAGGCAAGGATTTACAAAACATTGTCTTTTTTGATATTCTTTCCAAAACTGGAGACTGTTACATGTACATATTAAGAATCTTTGATGGAACTGAGTGATTTCTGATACAAGATACAGTCTAAGTCCTCTTTTATCACGGTGTCTCAGTTTCTCAAACACTGTAACTCCGAACAAACATTTGAGAAGTTGTAAAACAACAGTATAATGTATACCAAATAGAGAGTTTAATCTTAGACATCACAGAAATACGTCTTCATTCCTTCCCATAGTTCATAGATCATATAAACGCCACCGTTTTAATGGTCGGTAATAAAATGTCTGATCTCTTCACACTAGGTGCCTAGACGTTCACCAATACATTCTCTTTCTTTAATAACAGTTTCAGACGCTTTAAAAATCACATCAATGTTGTAATCAACAAAGTGTGATCGTGCTGGAGATAATTCTCACTGTGGTGGGTCGATCAGAACATGCTAACTCATTAGAAATCAGATTGCATCTTAATGTTCTTTTCAAAACAAAAGCATACCCTTTATAGCATGCTGCTCAGGAGAAGTAAAAAATACAGCGACTCCAGGTTAATCTGGATATTGACTGTCCAGGAACCTAAAATAGTATACCTGCTTCCTTAAGATATTTGAAAAACTTGCAAAGACTAAGTTCGCAAATTCCATTCTAAACCAAATGATGTACAAAAGAACACTCTAGTTTTTCATTCTATATCAAAATTATTTAAACTCTTTATAAATTTTCTAAATCAAAAGGGAAAAAAAACAACAGATTTTATAAACACTGAAACAAATGTGAGATTCCAGTTATTACTTTAATACAAATTTTCAGAATTGTTCATGAAAATAAAATTTTCTTCTGCTGGTTAAAACAAGAACAACCATCTCTGATAGTTCCAAAAGAAATTACTATAGGCTTGGAGGTTTTGGGGAAGGTGAAATAAAGTCACCTCCAGACTACTAGTCCTGACACTGATAGGAAACACAGTTACTTTAGTAGTGGGTCTTGGTATTTTGGCCAGACAATTGTAATGTGTTTTCCCTACAACAGGCTGTGGAATGTTGTACCTAAGGGAAGGGAGGGGGGATACACTATATCTACTTGTGAGAACAGGATAAGTACCAGTACTTAACACCACTCTGTCCTCATTACAAATATCAGGGAAGATTTCAGGAGCTTTCGGTAATTACTCAGAATTTACTAGAGTTCAAAGGTCACAACATTCCGTCAACGAATCAAAGTCATTGTAACTATGTTGGAGTCATTTCAGGACACAGCTGTTTACTCGGGTCATGTTGTGTATCATGGATGGTGGGTGTCTTCATTTAGAGATTGTTGTCTTCAAAACCGCTAAGGTACAAGATGGGGCCACACCACTAAGGCAATATAAAGGGGTCACACCACTAAGACCACATGATAGGGCCATACAACTAAGACTACATGATGGGACCACAAAACTAAGGCCACATGATGAGGACACATCATTCAAGGCCACATGATTGGGCCACACAACTAAGGCCACATGATGTGGCCACACAACTAAGGCCACATGATGAGGAAACATAAATTAAGACCACATGATTGAGCCACACAAATTAAAATCACATGATGATGTCACACAACTAAGGCCACATGATGTGGCCACACAACTAAGGCAATATAATTGGGCCAGGTAACCAAGACAATACAATGGGGCCACACAACTTAGGCCACAGGATGGGGCCACATAACAACAAAAATTTCAGTCAATTTGTAAAGTTATCACAAGGTTCAGACATTTTTGTAGTGTACTTATCTTGATAACAGGCTTGTCTTGATAAGAAAAGTTTGTGTCGTATTAAACTGAAGCCAAAATAAAGAAGTTTTGTGTTGTCCTTGGCTGGGTCAAACTTCCACCATCACAAATCAACAAAGGGAAGCATATCTGCAAACACTGGAGTGGGCGGAGGAGGGGGGGGGAGGGTTCAGAAAAACATGACCTTTGACTGACTGGTGTGGTGGAAAGGTATTCGATAAAAGATAATCTGTATTCCTATGTGGTACCAGATATAACTACATACAGTACTGGGAGTAACACTCAGAAAGTCTGGTCTGAGAGGCTGTAACATCTCTTACGACGCGCTGCTTACATTTATCTGACAAATTCAATAGCCGAGAATAAAATTCTTCAAGCAGATCACTTGTCACAGATGAAACTTCTACCTTAAAACAAATGCGCAGAAAACAAATGTTCAGGGCGTAGATTAATGAAATTAAACGAAAAGTAATATAAGTCTACAAACTCTGGTGTCGCTACATACAGACCACAATCCCATTAGTTTTGAGCTCTTCTAATACTTGTGTACTGCTCAATAGATTAACATTACAAACCGAGATTTATGGTGAAAGATTGTACAACCTTCCTGCAATATTTTATAGTTTACTCCCAATTAGACTGTACTCCTATCAGAGGTTGCTGTGTCCTCATGATTTCAGTACTAACCAACATCCACTAGTTGTCCTATAAGACACTGACGCTGAAATGACAAAGGTGACCATCACAACATATGGACATTGTTTCTCTTCCCTTTATAAGCCACAAATATGTAAACAGATGTTTGTCTGTCCCCTCGCATCTCTATCCATTCACTTATACCAGGATAAATGTGATGAATGCTGCACTAGTTTAAAGGACCTGACAACCATCAGACATAATCAAATGCGACACAAATAATATCTCTGTATCATCAGCTGATACACACACGTGTTTGACACGCTTCATGTCCCAAACTCCCGGTACATAAAGCAGCATGAATAGATGAATGGTAAAAAAATTTCAAAAACATGGCAGGGTCTGAATAATGAAAACATATCAATTAGATAACAAATTTTTATCCTCCTGCCAAATATTCCATTCTCAATGGTCAAACTGGCCTTTCCATATCTCAAGGAAAAAATGGATAAATTTGTGTGAGGTCGGGAATTTCTCTTTGGAAATATTAGAGCTACTGAACCAAATTTTGATTAAATTTTCAAAATATTTGCAAAGATTTTTTGAAAGGTTAGCAAATCTACCAAAATCCATAATTTGTAATACGCCAATACTCATTTAAGCTGCTGTCGTGCAGTGGTAATTCATTCTCCTTTTATGTTAATATGGAAGGGGGTGAGGAGGGGTTGTTCAATCCCCCAAAGGATATGTGAAAAGGCATGTGGGTCACATGCCTGCCCACATGAGTTTTCCCCAGTTTCCTGTCACAGTAAAGACTCCTCGCAAACTTCCATCCAGGCCAACAGGAGTGATTTAATATCAGCTAATAGCTTGTTTCATAAATGTTGTAATATTAATAACGTTTATATTACATTGATACAGTAATGCATTTTAACTGTCTGATGATAATTATGTCCATCCCTCAGATTCCAAGAAGAAGTATGATAATAATTATGTCCATCCCTCAGATTCCAAGAAGAAGTATGATAATAATTATGTCCATCCCTCAGATTCCAAGAAGAAGTATGATAATAATTATGTCCATCCCTCAGATTCCAAGAAGAAGTATGATAATAATTATGTCCATCCCTCAGATTCCGAAGTAATGTAATGACTCCCGAGGATTATTGAAAGATAAATACGAAAAGATTAATTTCATGCAAAACCCAAACATAATATGAAAACCAAATATGAAAGACAAGAGCTTGAAACTCAGACATAGACAACCCAACCTCTTAACTCCAGCACTTTCACACAAAGTCTATTGTACCAACCAAGGAGGAAACAACATGAAAGCTGTTTGTTGTAACAGAAGATTGCAAGTAATTAGTTATTTTTATAATTCTAATGATCTATAGCTTAAACCTCAGTCTACAAACAGTTTTATCTCGAGACCAAAGATATACATGGTTTCTTCGTCATTAGGTGTTCTGTAATATCGGCTGGTTAGGAAACTGGTTCGTTTTTCATATAAAAACCCAATTTTGATTAATCCCATGATTCATAAGAGAGCAGACAGGAAACCAGCTAGGAAGTATTATAGCTACATACTTACCATAGCACAAGAAATCGCTCACTACAGGTCACCTGGAGTTTGTTACTGCACCAAATTCCAACTGTATTTAACTAGCCCTAACTACAGGTGCAAAATAATAAAAACAAGGATATCTATGTAAAGTGTTGGGCCTTTTTTACCTCCATACAGAAAAGGGCAACCATTGTTTTATGCCAATCTAAGACATCTGATAATCAACAACATTTTCACGCTCTACAGTTAACGCTTCTCACTAATTACTGACTGAATTATGTCCGCTAATTAACCAGGTACCTGTACAATACTGAACACTCTGATTACACATGGTACAGAATGTTGAAATAGAAACAAAGTCTGGGGCTCACTTAGATACGCTCTCCACCCTGAATCTTTACAAAATCTTTTAATCTTTTATTTTCATTGGGTCAAGGATGACCTATGACCTTTAACCTTGACCAATGACCACCAAAATCTAATCAGGTATAGACATTCTTGAATATGAACCAAATCTGTTGAAGAGTTCAGGATATTTCTTGTAGTCAAGGTTACCAAACATGGACATACTCAAGAACAGAAGTCAAAACAAAGTGTTTACTTCATGTATATACCAGCTTCCCTAACATAACTGGTGTTGCAGGAGAAGTGGGGGGGTCATAACTTAATCACTAACAACAAAAATGCCTAAAAAAAAAGTATATGAAACTTATATATCATAGTGGTGAGATGAAAGGTGGAGGAGTAGGAGTGGGCTGGAGGGTGTGTTTGTAGGAATGGAGTGGAAAGGAAGGTGGATTTGTTGGAGTAGGGTTGGAGGCTGGGATGGAGGGTGGGTTTGTAGGTGTGGAAGGCAGGTTTGTAGGAGTGAGGTGAAGGGTGGGTTTGTAGGAATGGAGCGGAGTGGAAGGTGGATTTGTTGGTGTAGGGTTGGAGGCTGGGGTGGAGGGTGGGTTTCTAGGAGAAGAGTGGAAGGTGGGTTGGTAGGAGTGGAAGGTGGGTTTGTAGGAGTGGAGTGGAAGGTGGGTTTGTAGGAGTGGAGTGGAAGGTGGGTTTGTAGGAGTGGAGTGGAAGGAGGTTTTGTAGGAGTGGGGTGGAAGGTGGGTTTGTAGGAGTGGAGTGGAAGGTGGGTTTGTAGGAGTGATGTGAAGGGTGGGTTTGTAGGAATGGAGTGGAGTGGAAGGTGGGTTTGTTGGAGTAGGGTTGGAGGCTGGGATGGAGGGTGGGTTTGTAGGAATGGAGTGGAGTGGAAGGTGGATTTGTTGGAGTAGGGTTGGAGGCTGGGATGGAGGGTGGGTTTGTAGGAGTGGAAGGCGGGTTTGTAGGAGTGATGTGAAGGGTGGGTTTGTAGGAATGGAGTGGACTGGAAGGTGGGTTTGTAGGAGTAGGGTTGGAGGCTGGGGTGGAGGGTGGGTTTGTAGGAGTTGGATGGAGGGTGGATTTGTAGGAATTATTGGAGGATGGGTTTGTAGGAGTGAGGTGGAAGGTAGGTGTGTAGAAATGGGCTGGAGGGTTGGTTTGTAGGAGTGAGGTGGAATGTGGGTGTGTAGAAGTGGGCTGGAGGGTGGGTTTGTAGGCGTGGGGTGTAGAAAAGAGTTTGTAGCAGTGAAATGAAGAGTGGGTTTGTAGGAGTAGGGTGGAGGGCGAGTTTGAAGGAGTGAGATGGCGGGTGGGTTTGTAGGTGGGAGATGTTAAATAATGATCTAGCTTGTTTTCAAATACCAGAAATATGATGACTTTTATTACAAGAATTATTACAAAACAAACAATTTGTTCACAGGGTAATTAATAACCATTATCTCAATGGTCTCTAATTCAGTCATGCTGTTTCGAATTCAAAACATATTTTATTTCCCAAAATCAAAAATATTATGGCATACTACCTTCCCATCATATATATCCACCATCTTGAAACCATTCTGACGAGGAATATTCTATCATGATAATGTAGATACTCAGATTATAATTCCGAGTTCTCACAGTTTTCCCGTTTTCAGGAATTCTAAACATCTGGCAGAATTTGTAGGTTTCTAAACAACTGTTTCTGTAAGAAATTGTTTTGTTTAAAACAATATCTTTACATGTATGATGTAAATTTCTACTAAAAGGTGTGTGACAGCTATTTACCAACTTTCAACACTGTTTACCCTGTGTTGAAGTCACAGTGACCGACTTTTGAGGATCCTAATAGAGAAATTGAGATGGAAGGGAGGTAACTCTAGCAGACCTACTACTCACACTGAAGCTGTTTTCCAGCAGAGACAAGGCCTGGTTAATGTTGTTGATGTGGTGGACTCGTAGTTTGCCCTTCTCTCTTTTCTGTAATATATAAAATACACAGTAATAATTTCACAGACATAACAGAGATAAATTCTGACAGAAATCTTCTCAGAAAGAAATTTGCTTTCTCTTCAAGTATATGTACAAAGAGAACTTCATCTCTGAAGCAAACAAACACATACAAAAAAATAAAATAGAATTTCATCTTTGAAGCATACAAAGAAAAAGGCAATTTCCTGACTTCTAAACAGACATAAGTTAATACAGTTACAAATATTTTGTATACCGAAACTTTTTTTTTCTTATCAAAAGTGCTTCAGGATTTCATAACACTTTCTTTCAGGAGTACATAACCAGTTGCTATGAATATGAAGCAAAGTGGTCATTATACACATGAAACCAATAAACGACCTTTATAGACAGGAAATCTATTAACAGGTGTCCTGTGGGGCAGTCTTCACTAAATCCGTATATACTATTACTTACCAGCTTGGTACCACTGAGGACCTCCAATAGTGAGAGGAGGTTTGTGCCATCCCTCAGGTCAATAAATAGGTCCCCTATTACAGACCTGTTCGCCTGGAAATACCAATGGGAGAAAAAGGTGCCATAACTCACAATAACATATTGTTTGTTAAGAGTAAGTTTGTATTGAGTTTTGCTAATAGTGATTATATGTCAAGTCTGATGTGACCTTGTCAAATCTAGAATCAATGCTGAGCTACATGTATATTTCTTTTTCAGACTAATTTTTCAAAATGCCAATATCATTAAATCTATTACTGAGAGAAGTTACACTGTTCCATACCTTGCCCAGCTGTGAGTTGATCCATTTAGTGAACGTCTTTTTCTGTACATCTTCTCGTTCATCTGCAATGAGAATAAAATTACCAGTGTATTTAAGCATTGTGTTCAATGGAATCAAATTAATTTTTTCTATCATTTAGGTGTCAAATTTTGTAACAGCTCTAATCTGAAAACAGTACCATCTTATGTGAAGGCCACATTAAAACTAGGCTCATTTGACAACAAGAAGAATTACCCCAAGTTTCCAAGAAACTTTGATGCTAAGTTTATAGCTCTGATTATACCAATATCAGAAAACATCAGCCAAAAGAAATCCTTAATTTACTTATTATCTATTGTATCTATGGATCAAATGTATCAAAACCAAGTAAAAGAGACTGAATCCAATTTCTTATTTTTTTTTTGTTTATTGTTTATTACTCTGTGAATCACTCAATTTTCAAAAATACTCAGTTTTGCTACATTATGTCTTCAGTAATTTTCACTAATACAGTCAAACATTGTTATCTCGAAGTTGGCAGAACTATAGGAAAACTTCGAGCTATCCCAGTACTTGATTTTGAAATGAGTTCAACAATTTAGAGTGAAGATTTGACTGACAAAATAATTTAAATTAAACAAGTTCCAGATTACGAAGCTTGACTGTACATGTTTTTTTTATAAATGCTGATCTAGGAATGATTTAAACTTCACGAACGATCAGCTATTAGAGACCCAGACTCTATAAAACAGAATCAACAAAGATGCAATCCAGAGTTATTTACGTATGTCACTAGGAATTGGAATTCCACAAGAAATATCAAAGATTTACAACATTCTAACCAGGTTATTGATAATAACCAGCTAGTTAAATCTTGTATGGGCCTGTCAGGAGTCTTCACTTGTATAGGCAAGCCTTTGTTTATAAACATCAAATATCCACAGAAACATTTAATCACTTTTGATGAATAAGCCAACACTGAACCCAGTGATATCTAAACGGTCTCCATTACCAGTATCAAACTAGGGGGAGATAACTGTCAATTCAATCACGCCAAATATTACTTAAAATCAGTGAGAATGAGGTTTATCTATCAAAATGTTTTAAGGAAAATGTGATACAATCCTGTTACCTATTTGCCTAGGGATTAACTAGTGCCAAAAGATAGCCAATTATACCCTTACTAACATACCAGGCCATTCACTTCTTCCCTAACCCTTCGGTAAACATTTCGGCTCAAGTAGATTGAAACTTTGATAGTTCTAGATTCTCTCCAATCATTCTTTGCCATATCTTACTTTGTAAGATTACAAGACTGCATGTAGTGAATGGTGAGAGGTTAGATCATGTGACACTAGCTTAATATGCCAGCACATCATTCTAAAACTAGAGATATAAGGATCCTGCTCACCTGATAAAGTGCATTCTAATAAACAATATTCACCCCCACCTTACTGATCAACCACTGCATTATCTGAAAAGGATACCCTACTTACAACCTAAATATGGCTCAGACAAAGTCATAACTGATAATAAAACAAAAAACTCCAACAAATTTACATTTTTTTTCTTCATTAAAACTTTAAAACAATTTATATGTAACCCTGGTAAAATGCTAGCCGCAATATACCACTCGGCTAGAGAGAACTTCTCTTTAGCTTGATTGGTTGAGCGTCAGACTAGTAAGCCAGGGGTCCCGGGTTCGATTCCTAGCGGAGGCATTGAGATGAAGAATGATCTCTGTTACATATATATAGACATACAGGGGAACTTATTGGAGGAACACAGTACACAGAATTTGAACCAGAAGTACCAAGTTACCCTGTAAGGTGGGTAAAAAAACCTAGTGTAATAACCACCACCCCAACTCCACTAGCCATTAAGTACAAATAACAGCTGATGTTGTACATTTATCTTTTCATCACAACAGCAACAAACCTGTCTCATATCGTTTGTATCCCCCATCAAATAACTTCAGCAGAAGCTGGGTACTGACCACTGCAGCAGACAGCATCGCTGCATTTCTATATATACACACTACGTTTCCAGAGCAAGGTGATCATATTGACAGAAGACAAACACAATCTACTGACCAAAAATTACATGAACAAAAAAACTCTGACCCAAATTTCTCCTGATAAGGACATGCAGACTTCCTACAGATAATGAAGTACAAATTTTATATCACGTCACACTCGAAAATTTTTACCTACGGATAAAAAGGTGAATCACTTTTATTTTAGCTATTATACAAACCTGTGAGTGATTCCTGTTCCCCAGTATAGTCAAGTACTTTTAACCAAATCCATAAAACAATGGCAGATAATGTTACCATGACAACTGTTAAGGTCACCAAGGCAATAATCCAGACTGTATCCTCATTTATCTCAAAATGAGGCCCTTCCATACCCAAACAAAACAGTCATCTCCAGGTCACTGTATACAAGGGTCAGTCAAGCTGACCTTGGAAACCTTTCCTGTCTATAGAGACTATTTAACATCAAATTTCAGAGAACAAATCTGTTTATTGTGATTTTTCGGCTGGTGACATCAAGTGTTTCTATAACAACCAGGTGGATGTGTGATGGAAAAACTTGCCAAGGGTAGCTTTTGTCTGCAGTGTTTGTTCAATAATTGTTCTTTAAAAAATATTCCATGAAAACTCTTTAACCAGTTTAATTTGTGTCCGGAATTTCAGCGCATTCTCCAGATGTCCAGAAAAATAAACTCCCACACAACAGTATTTTCCTGTCCTGGGTAGAAAGAAATGACTGTCTCAACAACTACAGTCATATTTTTCAGTTCCTCATAGAAACAGTGACAGCTTATCTTTTCTGCCAATCAATCGCCTAATATTAAAAAGTCTTATAGATATTGATCTCTTTAACCAAAATTAGAAATACTTTCAGGTTTTCAAAAACTTTGCATACAAGACACAAAAAAATAGTTTTGAAATAGGTACAAGAAAAATATATTAATTTCCGTCCATAGGCAATCTCACTAACATCAACATTTTGTGAGGCGTCTAGCCATTTGGCTCCAGCAAGCACCTCACACAGGTAAAGATTTAATCACTGGAACACTTCAGTATATCGTCTCACACACGTAAATATACATCAAATATGTGAATAACGACTTAATTAGGATTTAAGAAATTTACGACCAATAAAAACTTCTTTGGTATCATGCTTTGTTGATTTTACTGTTTCGGTTCACAACTAATATCCAAGATGCTGGACTCGTTTTCTTGAATCTGTATCAACACTTTAAAAAAAGTGAAGATGTGGTGACATGTACTCAGGAGTATTTCAGAGGTTATCTAATTCAAATGCACCACATAAACTACAGATTATAACCTAAATGTGATCTTTACAAACTTTTAATCATGTAATTAAACACCATTTTATAATTTTATCTCCTAATACTACTTAAAACACATACAAACAGATTTGCATGTTATTTTTCCCAACCAATGAAGGGAGACAACCCCTCACAGCTTATACAGGAAGATGCTACACAGCATCTTAAAACAGATGTTGACAGAGCAAAACTATTCAATTTCAAAGCATAAGTAAAACTTTCAATCATTTTTTTTTCAATTATTCAAATTTCTAACTTATGTTTTAAGAAAGATATAACATCAGGCTTCATCAACTCATACAAAAGTGACCTTTGAGATGACCCCTGTAGTAACAGTGACAGAGTGCATGGTTTGATATTAGAAGACCCTTAGCAGTACAGTGCTGTGTGATATTTAATCAATCAATCCCAAATGGTTGTGTCAGATTATCAGCCTTAATGGTATTACATCTTCACCCTGATTAGTGAGCACAGACAAGCTAAGGTCAGACAGAACATAATCTGTAGGCATAAGATCAGGCCAAGAGGGACTAGACTGTCTAATAGACTATGTGACCAGACCTAGACGGACTAGACTGTCCCACAGACTGTGTGACCAGGTCTAGACAGACTAGACTGTCCCACAGACTCTGTGACCAGGTCTAGACAGACTAGACTGTCCCACAGACTCTGTGACCAGGTCTAGAAGGACTAGACTGTCCCACAGACTCTGTGACCAGACCTAGACGGACTAGACTGTCCCACAGACTCTGTGAACAGACCTAGAAGGACTAGACTGTCCCACAGACTCTGTGACCAGGTCTAGAAGGACTAGACTGTACCGCAGACTCTGTGACCAGACCTAGACGGACTAGACTGTCTGCAGATTCTGTGACCAGACCTAGAGGGACTAGACTGTCCCGCAGACTCTGTGACCAGACCTAGATGGACTAGACTGTCTAATAGACTATGTGACCAGACCTAGACGGACTAGACTGTCCCACAGACTGTGTGACCAGGTCTAGACAGACTAGACTGTCCCACAGACTCTGTGACCAGGTCTAGACAGACTAGACTGTCCCACAGACTCTGTCACCAGGTCTAGAAGGACTAGACTGTACCGCAGACTCTGTGACCAGACCTAGACGGACTAGACTGTCCCACAGACTCTGTGACCAGACCTTGAAGGACTAGACTGTCCCACAGACTCTGTGACCAGGTCTAGAAGGACTAGACTGTACCGCAGACTCTGTGACCAGACCTAGACGGACTAGACTGTCTGCAGATTCTGTGACCAGACCTAGAGGGACTAGACTGTCCCGCAGACTGTGACCAGACCTAGACGGACTAGACTGTCTGCAGATTCTGTGACCAGACCTAGACGGACTAGACTGTCCCACAGACTCTTTGACCAGACCTAGACAGACTAGACTGTACCGCAGACTCTGTGACCAGACCTAGATGGACTAGACTGTCCTGCAGACCAGAGCTAGAATTTTCCACTATTCAAAAAATACTCTTATATATTGTTAAAACATTGTTATTGAGACAAAATGTTGTAAGGTTTTCTATCATTTTGCTGGTTACTTTACTTTTCTGGAAACAAGTCAGAAGGTGAACATTGTAAATAAGTAGCCAAACCAAAAATCCATAATGAAATACACATATATACGATGTAGGTCAGACTGTGATTCAGCTAGTTTTTCTGCTATAAAAATATACATTTGTGCTTAAGTCATCCATG